TGCATGCTCTTCTTGTTACAGAAACCCTGGAGATTTTTAAATAATCTTCTCTGGAGTTGTATCTTTAGCCTTCCAGGCTTCGCAAATTGCTGGAACAGAACAAAGTTGGCTGGCTATTTTCTCCAGGATCTGACAGAAATCTTAGAGAACACGATGTTCCAGTAATCATCTCTTCTTTTCAAGTGTCTGTTCATGTTTTTAATCTCTCTTCCCTTTCCCTTTGTCAGAAGACAGCATATCCTAGTTAAGAAAAAAGCACAAAACCAAAAAAATAAAGAGAAAACCTGCAGCAGCATTGTTCCTCCCCGTATCTTTCATTTCGCTTCGTTTTTGTGCTGAATCACACTGTTCTGATACAGCCTTCTTTGTGGTGTAATTGTTTTCTGTAATCCATTTTCTTTGGGCTTCTCTTAGCTTCTGTCTGAAGCTGTTGCTGCTATAATGAACGTAGTCATAAATCTGTCACAGGTAACAAGGTAAATGCAGAGCTCGGTGCAGCAGGGAAGGGTATCTGCAGCTCAGGAAGGTGCTGCAGTTACGGGGCAGGCAGAAAAGGTTCCCCGCTGACAGATGAACAGGAGAGGACACCTAATTTTTGGTCCTCTCATAAATCCACTGCCACTCCCTTGTTCCTGTTTCTGCAGGGGTGCCGGGTGACCACATAGGCATGGGTGGAAAATGGAAGGATGTGGCGGAGATTCGAGGGTTGGGTGTCTGGCAGGAAAGGACCGTGTGGCACAGCCGGCCGAGGACACGCCTGCCTGCTCCCCGCTGGCGTGGTCCCCGAGGCAGCAGTCCCTGAGCAGCTGGGGAACTGCGTGTGTGCCTCAGGCCTGGGCAAACCTGGGGCTCCCACTGCTGGGCAGCTTGGCAGGACTGAGGGCATCGTGATGTTCTCCTCTGAATCAGAGTCAGTAAGGCTGGCAAAGACCACTGAGGTCGTCTCATCCAGCCGAGAGCCCACACCCACCGTGCCCACTATCCACGTCCCTCAGGGCCACATCTGCCCCACCATCTTCTTGAACTCCAGGAAAGGTGACTCCACCACCTCTCTGTGCAGCCTGTGCCAATACCTCAGCACTCTTTCTGAGAAGGAATTTCTCCTAATGTCCAACCAAACTCTCCCCTGGAGCAACTTAGGAGCGTTACCACTCATCCTATCATGGTTAAGTTAAGAGCAGGGGCCGACCCCCACCTCACCACAGCCTCCCTTCGGGGAGCTGTGCTTTAAGATCTCCCCTGAGCCTCCTCTGCTCCAGACTGACCCATCCCAGCTCCCTCAGCCGCTCCCCGTCACACTTGTGCTCCAGAGCAGCTCCACTGCCCATCCTCGGGACACTCTCCAGTGCCTCCATGTCTGTACTGCAGTGATGGGCCCAACACAGCACACAGCATTCGATATTAAGAGAAAAGGGAAGCAAGGATACGGAGGAAAGCAACAGGAAGAACAAAGATGACAGATAAGGAACAAGGAGGTGGAGAGAAACCATTTTTGAGAAAGGTGCAGTTCCCTGAAAGCTGCAGCATTCCCTGGTGTGATGGGAGAGTGGCTGGCAGTGCGAGAGCACCGCATCTCTGTCAAGCACTTGCCTCGTGCAGAGCAGCCAGAAACATTCGGAGGCATTCACTGGTTTTCCAAATGTCATTTACATTAGCATCCTATAATTGAATCAGTAACACTTTACTGAAAAGGTTAAATTCTGCCTTTTAAAAATTAAATCAGCTGCTTAGCTGTCAGCCACAGCCATGCCCTCCTGTTGCCTCTGGAAGAATTGGCATATTGACATATAAATCGTCTTGCTGGAGAATGCATTATCTCTCTTATTTATGACTACATTGTGCCACTAAGTGCTGCTGCTTGTAATTGAGGGCTCTCTGCTGAATTTGTTGAGTGTAAAATCTGTGGGAATAATTAATTCCATAATTAAAATACTTCTTACGGTATAGATTTGAAGAATCCCTAGCTGGTGTACGTCACTCAAATGCAAAGTTCTAAGAAAGTTTGAATGAAAGCATAACCAGCTTTTTTGCGTAGAGAATACTTTTAATTGATACAGGGCTGGTTTCAGGTGACTGATGAAAGCTCCCAACCACACAGAAATCAGCAGCATCACATTCAATTCCTATCTTGCCACCAGTGGTGTAGCAAAACCTTTAATATTAAAGCTGTACTGAAGCATTCATATGAGCTGTTGGCCTCAGGGCATAGTTCTTACTAGTCCTATATTCCTTTAAGAGATATCCTGAAGGTAGCATGATGTTTTACTGCTACCTGATAAGTAATCATTTTCTTTACTCAAAATGTTGCAGCTGTAGATTGCACCTGAAATCAAACAACTCTGCAAAACAGAGAGTTAAAAAGCATTATCTCTCCCTTTCCCTGTTCAGTAAAAAGTTGTGCCACAGCATTGCAGAAAGGATAAAGCAGCCCTTCTGCTTTTGGGTGAGTCTGAGCAGTCCACTGTCTTGTTAAGGCTGTTGTACTCCGTTGCCCTTTCTGTAATCCTGGCAACAACCTTAAATATGGTGATATTTGATAAGTCTAAAATATAGCTTGTCCATAAAATGCTCTGAGTGCTGTTTGGGACACTCTGTGCAAGGAAAGAACAAATCTTTTCCCTCTTCATAGGACGGATGCAACGATGGATGTGCATTTCTTGGTGGCAGTACTGAGCATCACCTGCCATAGGCAGCACGGGAAAGGATGCTGGCAGTACTACAGGTGTCCTCTCTTCACCTGTCTGGAGAGTTCAGGAGTCCTTCTCACCCAGCGCTGCAGGAGAGGATTTTCAGGAGGCAATAAATAAATTTTGATCTGGTTAATACAGTTAAGGTCAAAGAGATTCTATCTGGAGCTATTTAAAATACTCTTAGCATGCAGACACGCTGCTGTCAGTAGTGCTAAGTGCCCTACCTTGCTGAGGGGTGTACACAACCCTTATGAAACTATTCTTAAGTATTCTGGTTACTATATTTAGCACTGGCTCATAACAAGACAAAAAGCACTTAGCCAAATGTAGTTCTGAAGTGCTTAATCCGGCTAAGAATATTTTGTCCTTAGGTGTCTCCTGCTGAGACTTTTTATAGCTCACCATCCTGCTGCATCATGCAAAAAGCTTCTCCATGCATTTGAGCCTGTGACTTCTTTTGTGACCATTTATTTGGTCTGAGCCTGGGCTGGCACTGACCGGGGACATCGTTCACCCAGGAGAGATGCAGGGCAGGCTCATCGCCCCTCACCTTCGTTGGCTGCGCTCAGGGGGAAGCAGAAGCTCTGCTGGAGACCAGGGAACTGGAGCCCTGCTCCTCATTTAGGCTTGGTGTCACTGGCTGGATCCCGTCTGGTTCCTAGCAGCTTTCAGTTGTCAGACAGCCAATGGGAAAGACAGTGCAGAGGTTTCTGGGCAGAGCTTTGTGCTCGAAACCCAGAACAAATCCTTTTGTTTGACTCAGTTTTTTCAGAGAGGGTGGTGAGACGTTGGAACAGGTTGCACAGAAGGGAGACTGTGGATGCCCCCTCCCTGGAAGCATTTGAGGCCAGGCTGGATGGTGCTGTGAGCAACCTGGTCTAGAGGGAGGTGTCCCTGTCTATAGCAGGGGGTAGAAATAGACAATCTTAAATGTCCCTTCCAACCCAAACCATTCTATGATTCTGTGCTTAGGCCTATGTATGAAAAATGTTTTCTGAAAAATTGTAATAAACCCGTTAGTGAAGATCCAGGTGTTTTTTAAGATACAACTCATTGTTTTAAAAATAATATTCTTTTTAGCTGTATATATTAGAACTTAATAAGAGTTAGACAAACTTCAATGTGGGTCATCCTTCTGGAGGAGAAACAATGATATAATCTTGAAAAAATAGCACTGACCATGAGAAGCAGCCAAGATAGGAATTTCAATTGTAATGTGGGTCAATAGGATAGCAAATAAGATCACATGTTCCTTTTGAACTGGGACAGGAGCTTTTGAAATAGGATATGACCAGCACAGTGCTGCCATGAGACAAGGCAGAGTAGGGCTGCTGTACCTGAGTTCATTACGTAGGTGTTGTCCTCAGCTGCAGCCTCACTGAGGATACCAGCCGTTGTGTAAGGTTTTCCCTGGAAGTTTGTGTTCTGAACTGGAAGTGACGACTTGGTGTCAGCTGCACAGTTTCCTGGATCTCTTATGGCTGAAACACTTGAAATGTTTATGCATTACTCTCATACTAATGCTATGTCAGGAGCTTCATTTCCCCTTCTAGGTAACATCTGCACTGTGCTGGATAAGCCCCTGTCACACAGTTTTCTTGAGCCAAGCAGACAGACTGGCATCATTTCTCTAAGCTGCCGTGAGCAGGAGTTTGGCCCGTTGTTCCAAGCTCCCTGCAAAGCCCTGTCCTCATGCCACTAGCCAGGCTCCTGGTGGTTAGCAGTGAGTTCTACCTCTGCCCTCTCCAGTGCCTGCTATGTGTATTGCACAGTGGTTCTTCAGGGTCTTCCTGGGCTCCTTTCCCTTTGAGGTGCTTTCATGTCTTTGAGAAGGGAGAAAGCTATTGCTTCTCCTTTGGGTTATCAGAAATGTAGGCGTGTTTGCTTGGTCACTGTGGCTACAAGTGTTGGTGGTGTCAGCATTTTGCAATGTCTCGAGCAGTCTAAAAGTAACAGATGTGATGATGAAGCTGTGACTCAAAGTAGGGCTTCAGGGGCATTAAAAGTTTGTTAAATTTGGAAGCACAACATTTGGCTCTGGTTGGTGACGCTGCTGTCAGGTATGGCACCTCAGATCCCCCAGCAGCAGCTGGGCCTGGTGACGTTTTGGGCAGCAGAGACTGCTGACAGATGCAGACAAACCAGAAGCCCCAGGTCTGGTCCCAGCACCAGGTCCCAGAGTGCTCATGGTCGCACCCGTGCACGATTCTCGTCTGTGCCGTCATACTTCTTCAGCTTGCAGTCATTGCTGCTCTTTAGGCTATGTCTAGTTTGCAACTCTGTTTTAACTAGATTTGCTTTTCCTTCCAGGATTAATTTTTCTCTGTCTCTATTTACATGGTGATAAGAAGAGCTAATCCCACTCCGTCAGTCTGGACTGATGAATCTGAGGAGTAGAGCAGGTAATGTTTCACTTGGCTGTTAGCTTGCAATGACTCAGGCAGTGAGAACCACTCCCTCCACATTGAGTACATTCACATTTGGGGACTGAAGAAGTCACACAGTGTCCTCTACCCAGGTCTCCTGCAAGGAGGGGATGCCTGGCCCCAGCGCAGGAGAGGGAGGGTGACTTTCTATCATATTTCACAGAATCACAGAATTGTAAGAGTTGGAAGAGTCCTCTGGAGTTCTTCCTTATGTTGGTGTGGAACTTCCCATGAGCAGTTTGTGCACTCTGCCCCTTGTCCTGTCACTGGACTTTAGAGCCCAACTCCATCCTCTTGTCTCCTGCCCTTTGGATACCACGAGCAGCATCTTTGGCATGTTCTCGGTTGTGGATGGTTTCATTTTGATTTACCAACCAGAGACAGTGAGAACGAGCCCCCAGTGAAGAGATCACCGTCACTGTGCTGAATTTGCCATCGTTGCATGGGTCTTGAGAGTACCACATCCTCCCTGGGAATTGGCTCCAACTGTTCTCACCTGCTGTGCTGCAGGAGCAGTTAGCATACATCACAGGCAGCAGCCCATGGTGACTGCTTGCAGGCAGGCCCTGGAGAGGCTGGCTCTCGTTCCCTTCCATTCCCTGAGTGATGCCAGCAGAGGAATGTTTCTAGCTTGAAATGATGGCTGTGAGTCCCCATGGTAGGACACAGCTGGGTTGTGGTGGAGCCAACAGCAGGCGATGGCTGCAGGGCACTTCGGGTGAACCTGTCTCATATTGTCCCTTGGATCATACCTTGCTGTTGCCTAATACTAATCCTGTGGAGGATCAGCACAGCTTCCTCCTTCCTCCTATGCCCTTGCACCAGGACAGAAATCTCAGGTGCTCCTTAAGCACTGCAATGAACTTCAGCAGCCAAGCTGGCTCCCCCAGGCAGGCCAAACAGTGCTGCTTGGACCAGACACTGAGCTGACGTTTGCTGGGAGAAGCTGGGCAGAAAGCAGGGCACTGGTTGGGCTCCCCATCCCTTGCATTCCTCTGGCTGTATCAGGTGCTAGTTGGGCTTGCTTGGGACTGGGGCCATTGCACAGGGGGACTCCAAGGGCAGCCTGGGGGCTGCTGACTCTTTTCCAGTTTGGGCATATGGGTTTCAATCCTCAAACCTTTGGTCAGAATAAGCAAGAAACTAAGTAATGGAAAGGAGGCTGGGGAAGTAGATGATAAAATCATCCAGGAGGTCGTAAGACACAAACCAGTAAGCTCCGTGATGTGACATCCTCAGCAGGATCAGGCAGTGTGTCTCAGTAAGTATTTCTGTCCTTTCCTTCCAGAGCCCTGCGTTGTGTAAACGAACTGATGGATGAAGATGAGAAGGACAGGGCAAAGAGGTACGAGGGGATGCACGGAGCAAGGAAGTTCTCTCAGGGGAGAACTGTAAATGCTGTGTTGTGTGATGCTTGAAAAAGTGCTTGGGACACTCATGTCAGAGGCGAAATGCTGTGGTTTTCAGGCCATGCACAGCAGACCACGTACAGTGTAACTATGTCACCGTTTTCAAGCTCAGTGCTCCTTGGATTATATTACCTTGCTCTCAGAATCTCATGTTATCCTGTAGCTGTTTATCGTCCCAGTGATTTTGTTGGCCTCAGCTGGGGCAGTGCTGCTTAGCACAGGGTAGGGCTGGTCTCCCGCCAGAGGAGCTTGGCTCTGTTCTAATTACTCATCAAATAGCAGTGCCAAAACAGAGAGGGCTGCTGCAAATGCTGTGTGTGAGAACCTCTGAATGCCAACCTGAATGTGAACAGGAATGCTTGCTGCATACCACCCTCGGTTGGGAGCACAGGAGCATGTATTGTCATGAATACGCTTGTAAAGAAAATTAATGACTGCTGGAAGGGGTTGTATGAAAATAGCATTATCTGAGCTATGAGCTTTGGAAAGAACATTTTGGAAGAAACTGAATGGATTTACTTTCTTCCCTAATAAAACTCTAATAAAAGCGTTCTTAAATTGCATTAATGCAAGCTGAAAACCAGTCTGTGGTTTCCTCAGCCAGACTCTTAACATGCCCAATTTCATAAGTCGTGCTGCTGCTACTGCAGATTTTCAAAATCAGATAGTAGAGCTTGTACTTGACTTTATTCTGCAGTCAAGTTGCCTCTGCACAGTGTTCTCTGGCAACAAGCTACTTCTGCAATTACAGATCCAGGGAGGAGGCAGCCTTCTTGTTTTGACCTTTACGTGCTTGTATACTAAGTGCAAAGCAAGAGTGGGCAAAAAGGCAACGTGTGGTGCCAGGACTTTCTTACCGGAGAAATTTCACCTTCGTGTAATCATCCCTGATTTTGAAAGAGTGAGAAATGCTGCAGAGATGGATGTAAGGAGGCTTAAGTGCCTGTAAATGCTATTTGCTACCTGCAGACATCGCTTGCTGACAGAGAGTTCAGTCCTGCTGCAAGGCTCCAAGCACCAGCACTGCACTGACACCCAAGCCTAATTTTGTACAAGCAAGCAGTGCCAGCAGAAGCTCAGATTCCTGTACTTACAGCATTTTGCTGAGATGGGGCCTTGTGCCGAGCTGCTGCATTTTACTGAATGACGTTTAGCTTTCTGTCACGCAGGGCATCACGCAACAAATCTGAAAAGAAGAGGAGAGACCAGTTCAATGTCCTCATTAAAGAGCTCTGCACAATGCTGCAGGGGCACGGCCACCCTCTCAAGATGGACAAATCCACCATACTGCAGAGGACCATCGACTTCTTACAGAAACAGAAAGGTACCGAGGGCACACGCCTGCCCCAAATGTCCCCTCTTCCTTTTCTTGTTTCTGATGTGTCTGCATTGTGATGATGTGAAAATGGAGTGTCGCAAGTAAGAAGGCTTTGTGCGGAGAATGATCTGAGGATGATTCCTCTGAAAGCCTCTTAAAAGAAATGGTGTTAGTTGGAAACGGAAAAAAAAAAAAAAAAAAAAAAAGAAGAAAGTCCCGGTGATTATGAGCAATGTTGCTTTTTTGATGCTTTTTTCTTTAAGAAATCACAGCACAGACAGAAGCCTGTGAGATTAGACAAGACTGGAAGCCTTCATTTCTTAGCAACGAGGAGTTCACCCAGTTGATGTTAGAGGTAAGAAGAAATTGAAGCCCCACAGATTAGTGAGAACTAATCAGTTCAGGGGAGTCGCTCAGAGATGCAGTTCCGTTCACCTGTGGGTCCCCGTGTTAATCATTTCTCCTCTGCTGGCACATCTAATCCAAACCTGATGGAGACCAGTGTTGTGCTAAATGCTCTGCAAGCACAGAATTCAAAATATGGCTGCTTCTCCTTAAAGAAAAAGGGCATTTCAATTTGAAATGAAGACCAGTTGGTCCTGTATTTGGCTCTGGAAACACCCAACGAGCCTGCGTTTTTCCTTTCTTAAGGATGCAGCTTTGGTTTTGTACTGCACATTCCTTTGTTGAGGACTTCTATGCTGCTACTCTTTACCCCACCAGAATCAGGGTGTATGCTGGGCCGAGCTGGGAGGTGCGGCGGTGTCTTCGTTACTCCTTTTCATCAGGATGTCATGACTCACCTCCCTGGAAAAGTCTGTTCATTCTTTCTGGGAATTTCTTACCAAACAAGCCAGTTTGTTCCAGCTGAACCAAAACAAATTTTGCTCTTAGAAGTGTCAGGGGAGTGAGCCCTCTAATAACTTTTGGTGCGCTGGGCTGAGCCCATTGACCAGCTTAAATAAAGTTGGTGGTTTTACCCAGAGAGGGCTTATTTTTAGCAAAAGCAGGGAGTCACAGTGAGGTAGGGAGTGATTGGCTGCAGTGGACACTGCTGGGTGCTGCTTCTGCATGGCTTCTCCGTCTCCCTGCAAACTGGGCTGTAGAGCAGCCTAACGATGGCCTTAGAGGAGCTGGCTTTGTGCACGATGCTGGCTGCAGGTCAGATGGCCAGCACCTTGGGAGTGTTACAGAACAGGGACAGAGCCCGGATCAGCAGCACAGGAAGGTGTTGTGAAGAGCTCAAAGAAGAAAGCAGATGCAGAGACTGAGAAGGCACAGAGAACCTGGACTCCAGGCCATAAGCCATTGTGAAAAAGAGAGGGAAAACAAATTTTCAGATTGTCACGTCACTTGCCTAGAGTGCTTTAAGCAAATTAAATAAGGCTGTAGATCTTGTCCCTCGTCTTGCCCTTTGATCTATGTCCATTAGTCATGGATTGCTAAAAAACAGTATCCATCCATCTGTCCATCCCTCCATCGTGCTGGTTTTGCTGTGATCATATCTAACATCTCGTTACACACTGAATTAGTTAACTGTTGTGCAATTCAGAACACATAATGAAGTGACTGAAGTCACCAGGATTGTGTGGGTGTAGAAAATTTAACCACCACTGTCTTGCTTCATGTAAAATAAGTACTCACTGGGTGCAAAATAGAAGTCAATTTAGTATTAATGAGCAAATAAGAAGATAGACAAAGAATGCTGAATTAAACAGCACCCTTTTTTTTCCCCACATTGAACTATCATTGCCATAAGGGATTTCTGTTGGGTTTAGAATCCAACAGTCTAAAACCACGGAGTAATTTAGCCTATTTATTGTACTGGAAGTTGCTCCAATGTGTAATTCTTTTGTTTTCCTTTTGTCTCATCTTTTGTCATTAGGCATTAGATGGCTTCCTCATCGCTCTGACCACCGATGGGATTATTATTTATGTCTCTGATAGTGTCTCATCTCTGCTCGGGCACTTACCGGTAAGTTCCGACAATGCAGCGCATTGCAGGATGGCTCTCCTGCCTTAGCACAGCCCTGTCACTGCAGCCAAAGAGCCAGATGACTGTGAGTGATGGATGAACACACAAACCCTTAGGAAGCTCCTCAGGAGCCTGTGGTTCTGCCTCAGGGTCTGCCATTCAGCTGAAAAATCTGTGTAGAATCACTGTCCTCGTAGCTCACCCCCCTGACTGCATGTCTGAAGAAGGGTTGGGGTGGTGGTTATCCCACCAGATATGTGGAAAACTTCATATCTGTGTGCTGAAGCTCTTCTCAGACAATTTCAGGTGAAAATGTTTGCTCTTCTGATGGCATTGGGTTGTTCTTTTTTGAGCCCAGGGTCTTTAGTACCAAAAATGTTAGAGTTTTCTATTTCTGTTGGGTGTGGAAGCTTCTGCTGGCTCCTCAAAAACATTTCTTGTTTTTATCTGGCATAGATTATGCTTCGTGAGGACAAATTTGAGCCTGAGTATCCTAACCTGTCTGAACGTCCTGATGTGCAGAGAAACAAATATGTGCTGACACTATGGAAGCACCCCTTTAGTCAGGACGTGTGGGTTCATCAGCACTGGGGCACTTGCAGGACAAGTTAATTTTGCCAGTCAGCCTGAAAGGCCAGGGGAGGAGGTGAGCGGGAGCTGCCCCGCTTCTGTCTCATGCTTCCAAACGGAAAGGTTTCACATTTTCAGTTTGAAATGATAAATTTCACTTCCTGTTGTGTGTCTGTGGTACTGGAACTCCTCCAGGTTGCATGTGGCTGAACTGAAGGGCAGCCTCTGGGGCCGTTCAGCCTTTTGAAATTAGATGGCAGCCTGGGGGTAGGGTAACCTAAGGGTGATATTCTTCCCTAGATCCTTGTGTTAAGAGGCTGCTAGGTTGGCAGCATCTGTGCTCAGCTGTAGGATGAAAGCACGTGTTGTTGTGTCAGCCTGTGCCGTTGAACGTGACACAGCATTCTTTTGCATCAGTCAGATTTGGTGGACCAAAATATATTAAACTTTCTGCCTGAGCGGGAGCAGAGCGAGGTGTACAAGCTCCTTTCTCCACATGTGCTCATGACAGAGCCCGTTGCAGCTGATTTTCTGAACGGTAAGCTCTTTGCTCATCTGTTGATGAAGGAGATTTGCCACAGGCCAACAGTTCCCAGAGGGAGCTCCCAGCTATCTAGTTCTGTTTGCCACTGCTGCTTTGCCTCTGTGAATAATCTGAGGTTTGATGCAGTACATCAGCTAATGTTCCTACTTGCTGCCCATGCTTTGGACAGTGTGTACTTTACTGTTTGCTTTGGCTCACAGGACAGAGGGAAATTCTCCTCATTAGATATTTTTCCCAGAGTGGGAGTAAGCCTGTGAAAGGAGTTTGGGGTCTGGGGGAAGAATGAGGGCAGGAGAAATCCCAGAGGGTTTTGGCAGTCTTGTTCTTTAGAAACTGGCGCATCTCAGGATGCTTGAGAAGCCCTCCATGCAGTTGAAGCAGCGGCCTTCCTATCTGAGCTGCCCACCTGGGTCTCTGCTGTTGGCTGCTGTCCTGCTCCCAGACTGTTCCCACCGTGCCAGGGGCAGCTGCCACTGACTTCAGCCCCAGTGTAGCTGGGTACTGCACAGCCATGGGTACCACAGCATGCATCCTAGAGCAGAGGCAGCTGATCATTGCTCCCACTACTTGCTTGCTTGGGTCCATCTGAAGCATCTCAACAGTAGCAGGGTGGGTCTGAAAACATGGGCACTGTCTATATATTGAGTGTGCTAAAGTGCAGGCTGCTGGCCATGTTGCTGATGTCTCCCTCTCTTTCTCTCTTTCCAGTGGAAAAGCAAATAGAGTTTTGCTGCCATTTAGCGAGAGGCAGCTTAGATCCAAATGAGCCTCTGACATATGAATACGTGAAATTTGTAGTGGATTTTAAGTATTTTACTCATGGTAAGTAACATCTCCTACCACTGCTCCTTAGCCTCTCTTCTTTAATTTTGTGTTCTTCTGTAGCCACGTAAAGCCTTGTTTCAGCTGAACAGGCTGTAAACAGCATGGATGGAGTGTGCTGTGGGTTTGTTAGAGGTTTTCATGTAAAGGAGCTGGGCAAGCTGCTGGTTAGAGAAGGGGCACCAGACCGACCCTCCCTCCATTTGATTCACTGCCTGTTATGGATCAGTCTACTGACTCAGTTAACTGGAGAAACACGTTGTTCTGTTTCACTTGTGACAACTGAGTGACTCTTTAAAAAATGAAATAGTTTGAGCAGTTTGTAAAATCTTGGCTCTCTCAAATACTGAGCTTCTAAAAGGTGCTATTTTCTGCAAATCAAATCTAAGAAAAGGACAAATGGCTGGATTTCATGTGAACAATTTCCTTGGGGCAACACTCCAGCCTTTCGGTCACCAAATTTTTTAACCAGTCATGACTTCCTTTCTATTGAAAAAAAAAAAGGGCTCAGGCCAGGACAGTGCAGCAGATCTTTCTATATCCCCTTGATTTTCAATCTGAGATTTTAAAGGGACATTTGCAAAACATGCACTGGGATTGAAGCAGAAATGCTAGCAAAGAGGCTGTAGCTGCGTGCTGTGAGCAATCAGAACTGACTTGTGATGTTTCCCTGCAAGCCAGGGGTAGGTGGTGCAGCCCTGTACAGCCTAAAGGATCATGCTTTGGATAACGTCAGTGTATATCAGTGTGGCATCGTGGTGTGGGTAGGAGTTTGTTGCTTGGGTTTCATCAGTCATTGCACCTGTCCTGACATGAAAAGAAAAGTCTCCTTCCTTTTCTTCTTAAATAAATTGTCTGGTTGTGTCTAGTGCCTACACCCTCCTGTAATGGCTTTGAGTCAGCTATTGCACGAGCTTTCAGGTCAGCCACAGAGGAGCAGATTTGCCTCGTAGCAACAGTTCGTCTCGTCACACCGCAGTTCTTAAAGGTGAGGGCTCTCCCACTGCCTTACTCCTGTGCTGGGTGGTGGTCTTTTCTAACCCTTATGTTCTGTGATCCAGCGACACAGACTGGCCATGCTGAGGGCCTGGGAGTGGGAGGTGATGTTTATTTTGGAAAGAGTAATTGTAAAATGGGAGTTGCATTTGAGAAGAGGTGGCCATGTGATGGCAGTTTCAGGGCAGCAGGCTCAGCTAAACTGCTTGAAACGTTGGAGCTGCTGAAGAAACAGAGCCCACAGCTCCTCTGTGTAGAAATGCCACAGCACCTCGAGGCCCTGAGCACGGCAGTACGTGGTGGCTGTGTCCTGTGGCACAGTGCAGCAAGGACAGGGATGATGAGCAGAGGTGCTTTTCACTGCACACAGCACTGGCCAGGCCAGCTCGAGGCCTGCTCTGCCATCCACCTGTCATTGCCAGTATTCACACAAAATTGGGGAATTTCAGCTGCAGATGAGGCCCTCAGACTATTTATCTGAGCTCTGAGACTCAGCACAGGATAAATTGTTCAGCCGTTTTTCATCAGTTTCTGCCTCTGCAAAACAAGATTAATGCATTCTTTGGAGGAAGAGAAGCCAAGTGCTTTTAAAGCCCTGTGTTTTGCTAGGATTTGTTATATATCATATTATAAATGATGCATTCTTGGTCTTGAGAGAGGACTCCTTTTGTCATTGTGCAGAATTAAATGTCTGAAAGAGCCAACTGTTTTGCAGGAGCTCTGCAATGTTGAAGAGCCATGTGAAGAATTTACATCGAGGCATAGTTTGGAGTGGAAGTTTTTATTCTTGGACCACAGGTAAGAGATTTGGTCACTGAGGTATAAGCAAACCATAGTTTAAAAATAGGAATGTTTATGTTGCTTGAGATCCCAGGTAAAATAGCTGTAATTAAACTACACTACATAGATAATGATATTCTATACTTACTTATCAAGCTTCCTTAAAAGTTTTGCCCTCTGTCATACTTAGGGTGGTTAAGAAACCACATAAGTAAAGGGTGACTGTCTAGGGAAAAGTTCAGCTTCACCAAGGCATTAAGTCACTGATGGTGAGCACCATGAATTCTACTCCTTCTACCACTTATCTCCTCTGCCCACCATCTGCAGCTGCCAAGTACCTGCTGAATGTTTTGCTGTATTGACAAACATTTGATTTCCACCCTGATGAGTGATGGAATTTAGAAAAAGCAGTGGATTAGGTAGTTTAATTGCAGATTTGCTTTTGACTGAATGCAGTAGGGTAGGCATGCGGAATGAAGAAGTCTGGAATGACTTCTTTAAGCTAATTAATATAGGATTCATTTGCTTTAGAAGAAGCCGGAGGGTTTTGTTCTCTCTTGCTTCTCTTCATTCAACATGAAAGCACAAACACTTTGCCAAAATGCTGCCCTCTCCATTCTGCCACCCTTCGCAAGCTCTGCAAAGGCTCTGCAAAGCTGGTGGGTGAGGCTGGAGGAAATAAGTTGAACTGGAGGGGGAGCGGAGGCTGCGCGTCGTCTGCACATGTGGGTCAGAGAGAGGGAACACAAATAGGGAGCAACCTGCACTGCTGCAGTAGGGGCAGCACGCTTCTGAAGTGCAGACAGCCCCACTGCCGCTGTGTGGGTTGGCACAGCCGGCTCTTAGTCCTGCTGTTGGGATCTCCCTGCAGTGACTTTGTTAGACTTTAATTGGCCTGTCCAATGAGGCACACTTTCGGAATCAGGTGATTTAACAAGGACTCCTCAAAGAGCCCTAAGCCCCTTATGTCACTTGTCTGAAGCAGTGAGCTGGCTCTCCACAGGGCTGTGCCCAGAAGCTGCTGTGAATAAGGCAGGCAGGAGCTTCTTTGCAGCATATCAAAGAGCCTTTTGATGAATGAATCTAGGTTATGACTCAGAGAGGAAGCTCTGCGCCGGGCGCTCGCAGCCACTCCAGTCCCACTGGAATCCAAGTGAGGAGACCATTGTTGCTGGGAGTGGATTAAGCTAACACAGACACTGAGATGGTTTGTGAAGGCACTGGGCCCCAGAACCAGAAGGGAATCGTGTGGGCTGTCTCGTGTAATCAGTGCTCCAAACCTCTCCCCAGTGCACCCCCTAGGATGCTGTGAAATGTTGTTGGGTATTTTCCTGTTTCTTCCTTGGCTACATCAGCTTACAGAGCTTGGCCCTAGAGGCGTGTCCTCAGTAGGAGCAGTGTGTGCCCGGGACCTTTCATATCATGGCCATGGCATGCATGGAGTCATGATGAATAATACAGAAAGCACTTTATAGATCTGGTTAGATGTTAGAAAAACAGGAAGAACTGTTGTCTTGGTCTTCATATACACACACGTGGAAGAAGAAAGCCTGTGAACTTTGTTAATATTCTGCTTCTGTTCTTGGTTTTCCCTCCTGTTACTAAATGCAAGGTCTGCTCTGGCCAGGCTGAAAGCTGGGTGCCCTGTTCTTAGGGTGCTGACCCAGCCTCCAGCCCTGTGCTCAGAGCTTCACTGGAAAACGGTGCTTTCCATTTGCACAGCCAGCTGCAGGCCCCAAGGCTGGAAGTTACGCTAACAAGGCACTTCTAAATGGTTCCACAAGCAAGCCAGCTCCTTGTCAAATGATAGATTAGGAGCATTTTGTGATTGCTTTCTCACTTAAAGAAATCTGGCGAAAGTCATGGAAGCATAATACTTCCCTGATCAGCTTAAATGTTTATCTGATGTGCATCTGAAAGGCATTATTGTCTTGAAGATAAGCACGTCGAGAGACACTGGCCAATCTGACAAAGAGACAGCAAGGGCACTTTAATAAATACATGTATTATCATAATTAACAGAAATCTGGGTCACATGAGGAAACGGAACACAGTGCTCTATGAAGAGTCCTTCTGCTCAATAGGGCTGTATTGTGGCTGAGACCTCTGTGTACTGAGGGCTCTCTGTGTCTAGAAATTAGAGTGTAGAAGCCTGGCTCTTGCAGACAGCTCCTCGTACTGGGCCGGGTCTGGCTCCTGCTGAGCCCTTGATCCTCGTGGCAGTGTGCTGCAGGCTGCTGCCCCCCATCCATATGGCCTTTTTCTCCCTCTCCCCTGTCAGCCTTTTGCTGCCAGGCTGCCTGCGGCTGTGGGGAAGCACTGAGGAGGTGCAGCCAGGATTTTGAGCGTCCCTTCAGGAATCCAAGGCAAGGAAGGGAGTGAGCACAGACCTCTTCTGGCCCTCTGTGCTTGAATAACCTTTGATGCCCCCAAGGGGATGAACATGGAGCTGGTTCACTAGGAAAGACAGGGGAGGGTTTCCCATTCATTTCCAGAAGCTTCTCGCTTACTTTTCCCTCTGCAGTCATTACCCAGATGACATTTATATCCAACCTGATGGAGAATTTTGCTGGGGCTCCGGGTTATTACGCACACAAACATCCGTAGCGTTTCTCAAGCCGTGTCTCACGGGTGTGCTTAATGGATTGAGTCACTGCATACGCACATGCCCTCCCTACACCCACATAATGAATGGGCTGCGAAGCAGTAAACACACACCTTTTCATTTTCTCAGTTTTTGCCTCTTTGTGTCTTTTGCTTGTATCTGTCAATTCATCGCTGTATATATGAAAATCTGCTCCTGGGTGGAGGTACCAGGTGGTGCATCCGATGGCTTCGGTCATAGTGTCACCCTGGTGTCACAGTGCAGGTCTGTGCTCACCACCTGCCCTCTGCTTCTTTCCTAGGGCTCCTCCTATTATAGGATACTTACCCTTTGAGGTGCTGGGAACGTCAGGGTATGACTACTACCACGCAGATGACCTGGAGCTTCTCGCTAGGTGCCATGAACACTGTAAGTCCATCCACAGTATGCCCATCCATGATCTCACGTGTTGCTCATCCAAAGCCTTTTGCTGTCATCGCAAAAAATGTCTCTGTCTGGGAAGGAAGGAAGGAAAAAAGGCTGTCTTAGCAGTGCCTCCCTGGGAGCCTGAATCCCTCAGCAGTCACTCAGGGACCCTCTGTCCCCTGTGTATGAGGGCAGTCCTAGTCCTGAGGATGTTGTTGACTGTCACCCTTCCTGGGGACTTTCTGAGAGCCAGAAGGATCTAATGTCACAGCCACCTGCCCTGGGGCAGAGCGGAGCTGTGGAATGGGGAGAGGGCTCTTCTCCTTCCACCAGCAACATCTGTGGGCACAGAAAGAAGGCTGTGGGCTTTTAGCGCAGATTTTTCTCCATGTTGCATCGTTGTGAAAGTCTGTCCAGTTCTGTCTGATGTGGGAACACCAGAGAATGTCCACAGCCTTGTAGGCCAGCGCAGAAGGTGGCAGCAGACATGGTGTAGTGCTCATTGGTGTGGATCTCCAGCCACAAGGGTGCGAGAGGAGCTTTCTCCCAAAGACTGTATTTTTCCATTTTGTTGCACCCACTTCAGAATCAGATGCTGAACAAGAATTGAGTCTTCCTGCTGGATTGAAGTGCCAAGAAATGAAATGTAATGATGCAATTCGTAAAATGCATCTTGGTTATCACTTTTTTTTTTTTTTTTTGAGAAACACTGCTTACAGGTTTCTTGTTAGACCAGCTTGCTTTTGTCTGTCTGCCATTGCTGTTTGGAAGGAGCAGGGAACAAAGCTGCCCCAGGCAGCAGGGCGGTGTGGGAGCTGCCATGCGGTGCTGGCAGTGTGATGCCAGGGCTCCAAGCAGCTCCATGACTCCCAGCACTCTTCAGCTCTCAGCTGCAATGTGCAAACCTCTGCTACTGCCCCTCCACCTCAGACACATTTGAGATGCTAAAGGACCTATCAGAGAGCTAGAGAAAATTACTTTTGGAGAGAATCTGTTTGTGGCTTATGTCTGTGCTTGCCACTGATCTGTCATTATATTCCAGAGGCATGTTTGCTCAGCACAACTGCAGAAACGGATCTTTTAGATTCACTGTTCAGACAGGTGAGGTCAGGTGCTGGTGAATGACTTCCAGGAGTTGCTGCATGACGCCTTGGACAGGACCAAGTGCTGGGCAGTCAGCAGCATGGCACGTTAGCCAGAAGGCCTTCTCTACATGGTCCTTCTGAAGCACGTCCTCATTAATGGGATGGCTGAGAAAGACAGCCCTGGCAGTTAGCAAAGCAGAGTTTGTAAGAGTGCCCGTGTCCCCATGGCTGGAGAGGCTCCTGGCTGGCAGGTTGGCTGCCGTGGGCTGGCATCCCATCCCACCCGCTGTGAAGTGCAATGGGTTTGCTTCAACCACATTTTTATTTCACTTTGCGTTAATTATGGGTATTTTAAGTGAGCGTGTTTCATTTTGTACTGCCAGCAGTATGGGAGCAATTAAAGTGGTTATTTAATGTAGTTTCCCTTGTTATGTTCCTGTTATATTGCAGCACCTGTGATTTTTCTGGACGTGCTCCGATATGTACTCCAGTAGTCTGTTGCATTCAGTAGTCTGTTGCACACAGCTCTCAGTGTGACTCCTGATTTCCACCACCATATTATTTGTGCCATTATTAGGATCAAGCCCACCGTTTCTGAAATACATCTTCATCTATTTCTGAAAGGCCAATACTTTGTTTAAAGGGTATTACTTATGCTTATTACTTTCAGAGAAGCCCACTAATTAGTTGTAGAGATATAACCAGTTATAGAATTGTGCCAATTAGTAGTTACAAGAAAAATTTCTAAATACTGAAGTGCACTCTTATGGAAGTTGTGGAAGTTGGTAGCGGGAAAGAACCCAAAGGAAAGCTGTTGCGTGGCTGTGTGCCTGTCATGCTTACAAAGCCACAAGAGCATCATTAGTGTGGTAGCAAGGCTGGGGCTGAGCATTTCTTCTAAATCACCTTTGCACCTTGAGCTTTCTGTAGGTCGTTTGCTGTAATGTCCTTTCCTTTTGTTTACCAGTGATGCAATTTGGAAAAGGCAAGTCGTGTTACTACCGGTTCCTGACCAAGGGCCAGCAGTGGATCTGGCTGCAGACACACTACTACATCACCTACCACCAATGGAATTCCAAGCCCGAGTTCATCGTGTGCACTCACCTGGTAGTTAGGTAGGAGCAAGCACCAAGCACTTTAAAGTATGTGCTCCGTGTCCTGGTCCATTATGTTTTCCGGCCCTGTTTTGTGTAAGCCAAGTATTTGCTGCGTGCATTGGCATGCTAAATGGTATGCAATTGTAGAAAGCTATTACGACAGGGAACCTGGGGAAAAGCATCATGTGTTTTCACCACGCTTTGGCAGCTGGGCCTGAAAGCCACCACTGTCCATGTCCGTCAGAGTGCCACCAGCAGTGGCATGGCAGGACGAGGAGCTGAAGCTTTAACAGTCAGATGACTCTGTGGGTGTAAATGGTAGGTTGTAAATTTACCAAATATAAATTGTTTGCAGAGCTGCTCTCCATCATATTTGAAAAGTCATGGCTGTCAGGTGAGGTCTCGGATGATTGGAGGAAGGGTCACATCACTCCCATTTATAAGAAAGGGAGCAAGGAGGATGCAGGGAACTACAGACTGGTGAGTGTCACCTCTGTGCCTGGGAAGGTCATGGAACAGATCCTCTTGGCCAGCACAGCTTCACCAGGGGAAGGTCATGCTTAACCAATCTGGTGGCCTTCTATGATGGAGTGACAGCGTTGGTGGACAAGGGACAGGCGACCAGTGTCATTTACCTGGACTTAAGCAAGGCCTTTGACATGGTCCCCTACCACATCCTCATCTCCAAATTGGAGGGATGTGGATTTGATGGGTGGCATTGGTTGAAAGGCTGCAGACAGAGGCCGGTTTGTCCAGGTGGAGGCTGGTAATGAGTGGCGTCCCTCAGGGCTCTGTCTTGGGACCGGTGCTCTGTACCATCTTCATCAGTGACATTGAATTGAGTGCACCCTCAGCAAGTCTGCTGATGACACCAAGCTGAGTGGTGTGGTTGTCATGGTGGAAGGAAGGGATGCCATTCAGAGGGACCTCAGTAGGCTTGAAAGGTGGGCCTGGGTGAACCTGATGAGGTTCAGCACAGCACAGTGCAAGGTTTGGCACTTGGGCCACAGGAATCCCAGGCATCCATACAGACTGGAAGGAGCTCCTTGAGAGCAGCCCTGCAGAGAAGGACCTGGGGGTCCTGATGGATGAAAAACTGAACGTGAGCCAGCAGTGTGCATTGCAGCTTGGAAAGCAAATGGGATCCTGGGCTCCATCAGCAGAGGGGTGGCCAGCAGGGACAGGGAGGTGATTGTGCCTTTCTATGCTGCTCTTGTGAGGCCCCATCTGCAGCACTGTGTCCAGGTCTGGAGCCCCCAGCACCAGAAAGACAGGGAGCTGTTGGTCCAGAGGAGGCCACAAAGATGATCAGGGGACTGGAGCATCTCCTCTACAAAGACAGGCTGAGGGAGCTGGGCTTGTTCAGCCTGGAGAAAAGAAGGCTGGGGGTGACCTCAGTGCAGCCTGCAGTACCTAAAGGGAGCCTGCAAACAGGAGGGGAATCAACTCTTTGAAAGGGTAGATAACTGCAGGACAAGGGGAAATGGTTTTAAGTTGAGGGAGGGAAGACTGAGATTGGATGTCAGGGGGAAGTTATGTACCATGAGAGTGGTGAGGTGCTGGAACAGCTGCCCAGAGAGGCTGTGATGCCCCGTCCATCCCTGGAGGTGTTCAAGGCCAGGTTGGATGGGGCCCTGGGCAGCCTGGGCTGCTATGAAATGTGGAGGTTGGTGGCCCTGTCTGTGGCAGGGGGGTTGGAGCTTCATCATCCTTGAGGTCCCTTCCAACTAGAGCCATTCTGTGATTCTGTGTGAAATGGGGTGATACATCTCCTACCAAACCTTTGTCCAGAGCATTAGGTACTCAGGCAGGAAGGTGGCTGCTGTCCTGCTGGCCATGTTCCTTGCCCACGGCAGCACCCAGGAGCCCTGCAGTGCGCTCGGCTGCAGACTTGGTGGCAGAGCTGGGCTGGAATGAGCTGAGCTGTGCGAGGGACCTGCTGCCTCCCGCTGTCAGCACACAGCAGTGCTCAGAGCACAGGTGTATTTGCTGAAGGGATTGAAGAAATAGCGACGTTCTGATTTGATCTGTTAACCTGAGTCAGGTTGTTGCTCAGTGCATCTTTCCTGAAGAATCCATTTCCTTAGGAATCAAGTTGTTGTGATTTTTTTTTTTTCTGCTCCCCCTTTTTCCTGTCAAACATTTGGAAGAAAAAGCACAAATGAAATGGAAATCTTTCCCACGTTCAGAAGCACAGACTGAGGGCACCCTGTACACAGGTGTTGATGGTTGAGAGGCTGGTATAAACTACACATAGAGTGCTATTTTAAGCAAACATCAGATGGAGCAATTACTTCTGGGCTGCGTTGCTTCTGCCACGTTTCAGGCAGTTGAGCTGTGCTTCAGGCCCTGCCTTTATTGTGCAGGGACCCACACTGCTGTAAGTAAGCTCAGCTCAGCAGTGCCTCTTGCTCCCCACAAAGGTTTCACCCGTTCACATCTCAGGAGTCCTAATTCTGACACCACAACTGCTCAGAGCCCTTACAACGTTCTCTCCAATATATCCCAGGGTGAATCATGTAGCATTGTTTGCTGTAAATATAATTTAAGAGGAAAAAATAATAAGGGGAGCAAATACAGACTTTTAGAGGCATGATGGTTTAATTTTGTTTATTGTTTTTATTAGTTACGCAGAAGTCCGAGCTGAAAAAAGGCGAGACCTTGGCCTCGAAGAGTCATCAGTTGAACTGGCATCCTCTTCTATAAAGGTACTGCGTCTCTTCACAGTTGGATGAAATGGATATGAAATGGCCACCTCTTACCAATCTTAGCAGGTTACCTGTTCTTCCTTCTCCCACATTCCCTTCTCCTTCCAAGTCTTTGCCAGGGCTATGACTCAAACAGGTGCTCAGGAGTCATACACTGCATGGCTCTAAGCAATCCCATCTTGGTGTGTGCATGCAGCTGCAAATCCAGAGTTTGCATTGCCACTGCTCAGCTTTTCCATGTCCTTCTGAGAGCAGGGCAGTACCGCCATACACCTGTTTGCTTCATGCTGGCTTGGCACTGATACTCAGACAAAGATTGGATGTAAAGGGAAAACAATGCATTGGTTCTTATTCCAGATTTCAGCTCTATTTGCACCGTTGTGCAGGAATGTGACCAGAGCAGTAATTTTCATGGCTTGAATCAGTCTGGCATCCCAACATGCCTGCCCAATTAACAAGGTCATTTCAATTCCTTTCAAATTCCTCCTCTCAATAATTTACAGATAAGACTGATAATCAAAGCCACTCTGTGAGCATTGTTGTTGTAATTGTCATTCCATTAGCCTCACTACTCTTCAGCCATTATTTTATAGAAATTACTTATAGGATGCTCTGTGGGCACTGTCCCAGAGCCCTTTTGTGCTGGAGCAGAGGCCATCTTGCTAGCAGCTACTCTCACTACAGCACACTGCTGTAATTTTGCCCTTCCCTTATGATAGCAGCAATGTTTTTCTGCAGCCATGAAGCTACATCTGCTGGTGCAAGGCAGTGGGAGGAGCAGTAGGGCAGTTGCACCCATTGCTTGCTCTTTGGAAAGGAGTGGGGAGCTCCTGGGGAGGCATGGGGAGGGTGACAGCACGGACAGCATGGTCAGCACATCCTGCATTGAAACAGTCGTGCTGTGGGCTCGTAGCCATAAACCAGCTGCCATCTGTTGTTTTGGTGACAGCTCCAGAGCCACACAAATGCACTAGGTTTGGCTGTTCCCACTGGGATACGTGGGCTGGGAGGGTAAAGTCATCAGGATGACCATCAAGAAGAGAGCCTGGGGTCAGCTGCAGGGGGCTGGCAGCACCACGCTGTTATTTCCCCCCCTCTCATGTGCTTCTTTCCCTGCAGAGCCACGGCAGCTACCTAGAGGTGGGCCGCTGTGGCAGCAGCCAAGATGCCAGCCGGGAGGGAATGTCGCTGTCGTCCCACAGCTCCCGCCGCTCCTCTCACACCGCGCTCTCCGACTCTGCCTGTAGGTGCCCGGTTCAGTGGGAGAGTGAGGGGCAGGGCACCCTCCCACATCTGGGGTCGGGTGAGGGGCTTCCATCAGCTGGGACTGAGTCAGGGAGAGGCGCTCAGCTTCAGCACTGACACGCCGTGGTGTCCTGCATCGGCCTCGTGGGAGCAGGGGTGGCCGGGCACAGCTCTGCTGCAGTGTGACAGCAAAGCTTCTCTTTTCCAGCCACCTCGTCCATGCGACACACCGACACCAGCACTTCCACCCGGCCGGCGGTGCCAGAGAAGGCAGCCCTGCAGCTGGCGGCGGCTGGCAGCGCTCAGGTCGGTGCTGCTGAAGGGAGCAGATGGCAGGCCTTGGTCTAACTGTTGGAGGGGTCTGTTCCTCAGCTCCGGGTGTGTGGGGCCTGGGCTGGGATTTCCTGGGGCCGTAGCAGGGGTGAAGAGAGCTGCTGGATGCACCGCAGCTGCCCGCTGTCTTGGGTTCCTTATTCCTCCAGGCCAAGTTCTATCTCCCAACACGTCTCTTGGGTCTGAACATATTAAAAGGCTTTAGTCCAGACACAGGTGGTGACACTGAGGGTCTGCTATCAATTAGCAGCGGGCAAATAGGAGCTCAAGTTCTCCCTTCTTACTCACCCTCAGCCTACGTGTGAAGCTTTCAGGCTTCCCACACTCGTTTCATCACCAGGGCTGTGTGGCCAGCAGCAGCTTGTACTGTGCCCACTCGGCACTAGAGGTGCTGGAGACCTCCAATAAAGCAAAGTTTTCATTTTTAGGCTATAGCAACGCCTCCAGCCACGGGTGAACACCTCTCTCAGCAGCCGGCGGTCCCCTCCCAGCAGGCTGTGATGGTACGTGGAGTGATGCAGCCCCTGCCCCAAGCTGGGTGGGAGGGAAGGGGTTGTGCTGGGGCTGTGTGATAAGCATGAGGGCTGGGCCCTTGCACCCAGCCAAGCTGGGATGCTGAAAGCATAGGTTAAAGGATGGATCAGACCTGTCAAACTGCTTGGGGCTGCTGAAGACTCATCTGTGTTGTTAGCAGCTGGCACAGGCTGATACAACACAACAGTGTTATGGCCCTGATAGAAGAAGGGGGTGATGTGACAGATCTGAGATAGGCCAAAAAAAGAAGAGAGAGACAAAAAAAAAAAAAAAGGCAATTATAGCTCATAGCTAGTCTGGTATTCCAGTAACCTGCCTGCCTTGTACAAAAGCATAACGATGAATGTGTGCAGTGGGGCCGGCCCAAGCCAATGCTCTCTCTCTGCCCTGCAGCCCGTGTACCACTTCCCAGCCCCGCTGGGCATGATGCACCAGCTGAAGGAGCAGCTGGAGGAGAGGACACGCATTCTGCAAGCGGACATCAAAACGCAGCAGGAGGAGCTGCACGTCATCAAGGAGCAGCTCCAGCTGGTGCAGGACTCCAACCTGCAGGTACCACTTCCCTGCCCCCAGAGTGTGCTTTTCCTTGGAGCATGCAGATCTGTGACAGTTATCTGCAGCATAAGCATTTGGAAATGAGCTCTGGATGAATGCACAGTGTTGCCTCAGTCGTAGGGGTAGCTGGCAAGGTGTCTCCTGAGGGATAGCTGCCATCGGTGGCTGCTTAATGATGGAGTCATGATTTAGGAAAACAATCCCAAGGAAGGGGTCAGGTTGGTCAGAGCTCACCCTGCACGGTGATCCCAGTGGTTAATGCCATTTGTGCCATCCCACAACGTGTGACAGGGATAACAGCACCAGGCAGTCGTGGCTCTGAATGTCTGAGCAGCCCATCCTCACAGCTCACTGCCGGGTTTGCAGGTGCGGTGCCTGCGTGCTGACAGAGGCTGCTAGGGGCAGGAGGGTCTCCCGGCAGCGAGGAGCCCAGCAGAGCTCCTTTGGGGGCCCCACCAGCTGCACCCCTCACACAGGGCAGGAGCCTACAGAACCCCTATTTTCTAGCAAAGCCCAAGCACCATCTAGTGGCAGTTGCCGAGCAAGGGCTGTCTAATATCCCTCCCGATGTGTAACGCACCCTTGCCTCTTTTCTCCTTAAAGATGCTGATGCAGCAGCCGATCCCACTGGTCTTCAACAGCGCGCAGCGTCAGAGCCCACGGAGGGCCCCGCCTCCATCCCGGCAGCCCAGCACCAAGAAGGCCCCGCAGCCAGGCCCCATGGCCAAGCGCTACGGGGGTCCCCCTGCGTCCACCCCGCGCCTGTTCCTCAGGGAGCCCTGCAGCACTCCCTCCCAGGTGCCTGGCTGTGCTCACACGTGGGCAGGTGGCACAGAGCGTTTCGTGGTTGTCAGAGGGGAATTCGTTTCCAGCAGAGAAGTCTTGGAAGGCAGCTGTGATGAATAAGCTTAGCCTCACTGGGTCTACATTTACAGCATAGAATCACAGAACAGTTTAGGTTGGAAAAGGACCTTGCAGCCACCCCTGCTGTGTGCTGGCTGCCCCTTCACCCCATCTCAGGCTGTCCAGGACCCACCCAGTCCAACATGGGGCACCTCCAGGGATGGGCGCCCACAGCTCTGTCAGCAGTGCCGGGGGCCTCATTGCCCTCTGCATAAAGAATATCTTACTCATATGCAACCTAAATCTCCCCTCTTTTAATTTGAAGCCGTTACTCCCTGCCCTGACACTGCACTCACTGATACCAAATCTTCCCCCCCCAGCTCTCCTGCAGGCCCCAGGAGGTACTGGAAGGCTATAATGTCTCCCCAGAACCTTATTTAGATGAAGGAATTCCTCCCACAGCTGAGGATCATAGAAGGGTGACAAATGCCAACAAGGTGTTTGTGCTCATAGACATATTCCATTCTTACCACTTCACTCAGGGAGAGCTTCAGTTGTTCTGTGTCTTTTTCTCAGTTTGAAGCTTTTGTTCTAGCTGCATTACTGAGGGCTTCAGAACCTGATCTGTGCATCTGCACCTGCATTTCAGGTACCACAGCAGCAGCAGCACCTAATGCGAGGAAACCAAGCCCAGCCAACGTGTCTGCCAGGGCAGACGAGCATTTCAGTGCCCCTCTACAACAACCCCACGGTGTTTTCGCAAGCACATCCCATCACAGTGGCTGCACAGCTTCCAACTGATGTTAGTGAAAGGCAGATGCAGTCTGACTACAGCCAGGACAGGAGCCTCAGGTAAGAGCTGGAACTATTCTCCCAGCCCTGTCTTGCTTGCTCCGGAGTTCTGTTTTTTCCAGCCAGGATGAGGTCTGTGACAAAAACATTATTCTTTTGTACAAAACTGCCCCAAAATATGCAACTGCCTTTCAGGAAGGGGTCTGCAGGCGCTGTCTCTGGGGTCCAGGCACTGCAAAATACTCTCTAAAGGAGCAGCATAACTATGTGAGCTAGAGATCTCACCATCTGAAAGATGTGTTTCTGACATGGAAGGTATGGCAAGTTTCAGCCCACCTCCATGGGTGATGAGGAGCATCCTATTGCACTGCCTTTTTTTCCGAGGAGAATCAGTGCTACTTTGCATGCTTTCAGTGAGGGCTTACAGGACTTGTTCCTAGAGGTTGGCAGCCAGCAGTCTGGACTGGGCCTGCCCTGACTGCCCCCTCTTTTTCCTCACCACAGGATGCTGCTGGATCAGTCCATCCAGGCCATGGTGCCCGCTGCCAATGGCAGCACCCAGCCCACACCGAGCAGCGCCAGCAGGCAGCCAGGGAAGTGAGTCCTTGCTCGTCCCTGCTCCCACGTGGTGTTGTAGCAGGGTGCTGCTTCGTGGCTCCAGAAATTACTTTGAAAAACCTGCGTGTGATCACATGAAAACAAACCAGATTTAAAGGAAACAAAATCTAAGCTAGTCAGGAGAAGAAGTAATGAGAATATGTACTTCTTTTAATTGCAAAGAACTCCTAATTACAGTTTTTTGAAAAGTGTTCCTAACTGTTTGCTGGCTTTTGCAAAGCATCAAGTGCTTGATCAAGTCACAGAGATGTACGACCTTACATCTCTGATTCCCTGCGGTTCCAGTCAGGAATGCTTAGTGGGAGAGGGACTTTTGTGTGGGATTTGGCACAGTTGGACAAGTCCTGTTGCTCTGATTCCTGCAGCATCGGGCAGCCAAGCCAGGGTTGGGTTCTCACACTGGATTTTCTTCCCTGTGGCAGATTCGTGGCAGAGCAGCAGCCCTTGCCTCCCACCACGCAGATGCAGCCCATCAGTGGCAGCACGGTGCGGCCCCCCGCTCCCTCGCCTGTGTTCTCCCCATCCGTGATGCTCCCCCATGGCAGCTTCGTGGCCCACCCCGGCAGCACCCCGCTGCACCTCCACCCCTGGCCACAGCAGCAGGTTCAGCAGCACCGTCTCTACCTTCAGGTAAGGCCTGTGTGCAGGGCTGGGGTGGGATCTGGGGAAGAAATGGTAGCTGGCCACGATTACACCTGAGCTGTGCACTCGTGTGCCTTCCATCCCCGCTATATCTGCGTGTGCCTCTGTGCACAGCATTTCCAACCTGACTTGGTACCCAGTTTCAAGGCTGTATTTCCAAGCCCAGCTGTCCCTTAGCAAGCAGAAGACAGAGCCAGGCCTTCAATTATGATGTATTATTCAGAGGGCCTGGGGTGGAAATCCCACTGTGGAAGCGATGGGCGATAAGGGATTGGTCCCCTTGAAAAGGGGTTCTTATCAGCTGCAGTCACTGCTTTCTTTCAATGAAAGGTTGTTTCCCGACACAAAACTCTGGGAAAGGCAGTTCTGTTTTTTCAGTGCATGTTTTCATCAGTGCACGCCAAGTGAACAGGGCTGCCAAGGAGAAGGGCTGTTGAAACTATTAATTAATGAGTGATATGCTCTCCAAGACTTGATGGGTTGGCAGAGGCAAGCTATAGCTGTCCTGGAAAAGATGGTAGAAAACAAGAACAGGGATAGAGCTAGAGTTATGCTGCAGGGCTGCATTTGGAGTGAGAAATAAATTGTTGTTGGAAACATGGGCAGGAACTGCTGTAAGCCCTGAGAACAGCAGCGTGGCAGCGTGCAGGAGGTGAAAGCTTCAGTCAGCAGCACGTCGGGCCTCAGTGCCATGGCAAAGTGATGAAGCCTGCTCTGCGGAGCAGCAGCCGTAGGGCTGCCCGTCCTGCAGCTGTACGGCAGCTGCCTGCCAGAGGCCTTCTGCCAGGCTGCCCGTAGGGCTGTAGGATGGGGGTCCCAGCACCCCGCCCTACTCTTCTGTCCTTCGCTCACCGCTCGGAGGGCGCAGATCACCTTTGGGCTCCGGTACCCCTGCACAACAGCGAGGGAGGGGTGCTGGGTCTGGGCGGCACCGATCGGCTGTCTTCGTATCGCCCTGCAGATGCAAGGAGCTGAGGCTGTGCCGGGAGGCCCCGGCCCACGTGTGTTCCAGCCAGCCCACCTCCCGCAGCAGAGCCCCCTGAGCTACTTCCTGCACCCGCAGCCGCAGGGCCGCCACGCACAGGGCCAGCCCTGCAACCTGCCTGACCTGCCCGAGATGCAGCTGCCCTGACCCACTGCCGCTCAGACCAGCGAGACCCCGCCTCACAGGGCGGGATCGCCGCGGGGCCCCGCTGGGGTCTCCTGTCGGCATCACCGCTCAAAAGAGCCCGTGGGCTGCGAGTCTCGGCCAGGCCTGCCCAGAGGGAGCGCGCCGTGGAGCTGAGGAAGAGGAGGATGCTCACCTGGGGCTCCCGCCCACCGGAGCTGCAGACTCGGTGAGAAGGCTGTGCTTGGGGCAGGAGCCGGGATGCTGCTGCCGGTCGCCGAGCCGTGCCTGCCCGTGCCAGTGCTGGCTGCTGATCTTTGACCTGAGGGGGACAGCCGCCCGGCTGCGGGCAGGTGGCTGAGGTCCCCGTGGGGATGGCGGCGCTGCAGACGAGCCGTGTCCGATCAGGGCCGCGGTGCTGGAAGTCACTGTGATGCCGATCCCAGCGCCCGCAGCGCGCCGCAGGGCTGCCGTGTACATAGCTCGCCTCGCTCTCGTAGGTCCGTTGTGGAGTTTTTCCTTATTTCTATACCTCAACCCCACCGTTTTGTTTTCCGGGAGATTGGATAATGCTGCTAACTTACGTAACACCACTTTTGCCTGAATTTCTTACTGTTGTTAAACCAGCTCACATCACAACCAGTAAGATATTCCTCATCTTTTATTTTGGTTAACAAACACAGAGAAATTTATGTGGTTTTTACTCCCTGTAGCCAAATATTTTTCAGGTTACCTACAAAGAACCTTCACTCTTTCTCCTCTGTCATTCTGTTCTGATCCAGGTGGATGTTGTTGTATATGTTTCTTAACATGAAAACAAACCAACACAGTAGAACACCGTATTGACAGCAAACTTTGTGGTTTTGCTCGGTCAGATTTCAGGCTGACAAACCCGGAACATATACTCACAATGACACAGGCGATGTTACAAGCCCATGGGGTCAGCAATAAAGTGTATTTTTGTAAATTGCCACTTTTTAAGTATATGTTTATATTTATGAATTGAAAACTAGTCTGCTCCATAGTGGGTGTATAGCTGTGTCCCTACTGTTTGTGTCTTTCCAAAGGAAAAAGGAACAGCTACATTTCTGAGGTGCTGGGGGCTGAGCACTAACTGTGGGCACTGCTGGAGCCCAGACACAGGTGAAGGTGTAGGCTGTTGCTGTCAGCTTTGCAGGCAGGTGGGGAGGAAAACGTGCGCACGCAGAGGCACGCACTTACAGCAAGGATACACTATTGAACGCAGTTTATGTCTCAGTGTTGCTGCTGGGAGAAGGCTGCAGCATGGTGGCTGTCCTGCATGTCCCCTTCCACATGCCAGCCCTGTGTGCCTGGGCTCTTATGAGCAGGGCTTGACACAGAAGGGGTTCGCTGCCTTGCAAGGAGAGGAGCTGGGGGCGGTGGGTGTGCAGGATGGGGCTGTGCCCCTCCACAGCCCTGCTGATGGCACTGGGCTGCGCGGTGATGGGGGGAGCTGTGGGGTGGCACGGCTGTCTATCGCTCGCAGCCTCGCGGCAGGGAGCAGGAGAGGTTTGCAAGGATGTTTACATGTGAGATTGGCCTTGCTGAAGCAAGCAACCTGAAACAAGCACTTTATCACACCCCCTTTTATTTCCAGCACCCACCCCAGCCGCAAGCACAGCCGCTCGTGGGCCTGGTGCCGCCTGGGCAGAGCCGTGTGTGCCGTGGGCCAAAATCCCAGAGCCTCTGCTCAGCCTGCATCCAACCGGGCACGGCAGGCTCAGGGCCGTGGGATTTTTGCCTTAGTTATCACTCGCACTCAAAGAATTAACGACTAAATGAATCTTCTTATTCAGGTGAACTCCTGTTCATTTACCTCGGTGATAGCTACGTCCTGTGTTTTTGGGATCCCTTTGGAATTGAGGGTTGCTGGCGGGTTTGGTTCCCCCCTGGGTGCTGATGAGTGAAGTTGGGCTCCAGCACCAGCGCTCAGTGACAACCTGAGGCTTTCCAGCACACAAGCACCCGTGTGCTAGCACTCTCTCCCTTCATATCTAGATATACAAGTGTGTGTTTGTAATATACATATATATATGTATGTATGTGGGTATCTCTATCTACAGGCCACACAATTCCAGACCTCTGAAAACACAGGCAGCTTTAATTAATAAAGTCTTGCACTTTTAGCGTATTTGTACATATAAGCTAAAGCCTGGTGGGTGCAATCAGGCTGGTTTGACAAACACAGCGAAAAACTGACTGTATATATTGTAACATACTCTGTGTAAAAGAAGAAAAATCTTAGAAGTGACTATAAATCTTGGTTTATTTTATATGCTGTCAAATATAGATACATTTATAGATGTTATTATTCTTAAAAGTATTTTGTAATGGGAAAAAGAAAGTGTCTTATGAAGAGTAAAGATTTTATTCTTGTCTTGAATCTATGTCGCTGCACAGCTCTGTTGGATGGGAACCTGTGCATTTTGAGAAGCTTTAAACAGATTATACATGGTATTTTCAAAAAAAAAAAAAAAAAAAAAAAAAAAAAAAAAAAAAAAAAAAAAAAGAACAAAGAAAGAAAAGGATGAAAGAAAGAGAAAGAAATAAAAGCATACCTGTAAGACCTCTTACACAACTGTGCTGTTGTTTTTCCCAGGCAATACGGGTCGGATGGAGGGCCGGACTCTCTCCTTGCTCTGCAGGAGTGCAGGAGCTGTGCTGTACACAAGTGCACAGTAGGGGAGGGATGGGGCTCAAGCCAGAGACTGGGATCTGACCACTGCCAGAGGCAGAGCATGAGCCAGGAAGAACAGGGCATCAGAGCCACCACGGCACGCCATCCGTGGCTTCATCTGGATGCAGAAATGAGTAATGCCACTCTTCCTGGACTAACTCAGCAGCCATCCGGGCATGGAAGCAAGCTCAGGTTGTGCACAGGGCTGAACTGGTCCCAGCCTGCAAAACCTGGGTCCGCTCTTTTCCTCACCCTTAGGGGAGGTCGAAGGCCTAGTGTGCTTTTTCTATGGCTCAGTCCTTGCTACGAATGTCTTTAACATAACTGATGCTTTTGAACAAACTTCTGAAGCAGGCTATCATGGGAAAGAACAGTGCTTCAAACAGATTACTTTTTCTTAAGTGAAACATATTTTATTTAACACCCCATTTGTCTTACAGTACTTCTACATACAACATGTTGTATAAAAAGCCAACCTGCCAACACAGATGTGTGGCCTTCTTGGTAAAGTGACAAAGCTGTAGCAAAGAAAAAAGCAAAATAGCCTATTCTTCCTGGAGACAAATTGCAGTACTTCATGTTAAGTCCAGACAGCAACTGCAGTCACAATCAAGAACCCTGGATAGTACAACCGGATGAGAAATTTCTATGAGATACAACATACAGCTACCTCTTACTTGCTATATATTAGCAAATTCTTCTTGAAAATATACTATTACATAGTCATTAGAATGAGGAACAAGTGGTTTGTCCTAGGAATGGACTGACACGGGGCATCTTCTGAATCGCACAGCAGCGACCATTTCTAAGTCCCAGAAAACGCCCCAGTTTTATCCCAAGCAGTTCACCCTGCGGTGGAAGAGGCCCCAGGGCTGTTCCTTGTGCTGTGTTCAGGCCCTGGGGCGACCGCTGCTGAGCGAAGCACACGGGGCAGAGCAGCTGCTCCTCGTGGTGGCCGGAGCTCAGCCAGCGCCACGTGATGGGGGACACCAGGCTCAGAGGCTGCCCTGTGGGCGCAGGGCTGCGTGTGACAAAGGCATCCGATGTGCGTATCAGCGACGATGACGGCCCAAAAGGGCTGTGCAGTTTGACCAACAGCTGCTGGAACCTTCTGGCACAAATCACCGTGCCGCAGCTGCCCAGTCACACCGGTGACACCGCAGCAGACTGCAAGGTAAAAGCTGTGTGAGCAGCACGACTCGTGCTAGCGACCGAACACTGCGTGTGCTTTGTGCTGACGGGTGCACATTCACTCAGTTCCTAAGACAGGACCACGAGATAATGGGAACCGTTACAGAAAAAAGGACAGCTGTGAAATGACACGTCTGTGCTTATTTAAGCACGCCGCTTGCTACTGATGGATAAGCTGCCCAGAGTCCAAAACCACATCTAAAAGCCTCCACGTGAGGACGTGAATGGAAGTCCCCCTGCAGGGAAGGGCTGTGAGCACGGCGGGCTGCTTCCCCACTGAGCTCTTGCAGCACAAGTGTGCCCACCCAGCGACTCCCACTGCAGTGCGATGCCATCACGGGCTCACCTTTCCAACACCAAATATATTTTAGATATATACATATTCTTAAATCACAAGCTGGTCAGCTCTCTGTAACACAGCTCTGACAGCTGGCAAGGATGACTGTGCATCTGGTAACGGCTCTATAGTTTCTTGGATTGACTGCAATAGAAACTGGTATTTCAAGAAGTTGCTCAGTTTTGCATAACCAAACCACGTAATAACAGAGGGCCATTGGATTTTGCAGGTTCCTTCAGTACAGTCTTTTGTACTTAATTTCATCCTGCGTGTACTTTTTAAAAACATCTTGGCCCTCCACCAAAAAACATAACTGAGTTTTAAGACTTTCACATCCCTGTGCTACGTAGCTCAGTGAACAGCCTGTACCTTTGAATGCCTCTTGAAATTTGCAGTACCCCCCACGGCCCTACAGAAGCATTTTGCTTGGGTAGATGTATCTCTTTTCATGGGGCTCTGTTCATTTCAGCACAGCTGCTTACGTAAGAATTACACAGAATCACAGAATTGTAGGGGTTGGAAGGGAGCTCTAGAGATCATCGAGACCAACCCCCTGCCAAAGCAGGGTCCCTAAGGCAGGTCGCACAGGTAGGCATCCAGGCACACTGAGCAAACCTCATCTGAGCACATCCTAGACCAGAACATCAGTTATCATCTGCTCCGTGCTCCTAAAACAGCATCAGGAAAACACGTTGCCCTGGTTTGCCTCAGAAACATACATACAAATAAGTCAGTCTGTGTATTTTACACACCAATACACAGACCAGCAGTATGCTGTGTCAGGTGGGGCTGCTCTCCATGAAGGTTTCTGAAAAAAATCATCATTTTTCACAAATATTTTTTTGGAGTTACTGCTTGCTCAATAAAACTGATACCTGAGAGTATAGGGGAGAGGAAGTCATTCATACATTCATTATTCCAGATCAAAACTGCATTCTTTAGAAGCAGCACAAGAACTTTAACACCAATTTGCAATGGTGGCATTTCAGCGAATGCTCGTAACATGAAAGTCAGTTGTTCCTCATTCCTTTTAGTAGTGCAAGAAAAGCAACCAATAGTGAATGATGCCATCCCCATTCTGCTTCTTTACAAAACATGCACAGTATAAAAATAACGCTGCTCTGCAGAGACAGTTTGTCATACAGACTTTAAAAACAGCTCTTTTGAACCAGTTTATTTAATGTTGTTAAAATACAGACTCTTCCCATCTTTGTGTAAACCCTTTGTAGCACAAGCTACCTCAGGTTCAATGTCAAATTCCACCAGGAAAGCACTGGCAGAGCTTTCTTCCCCAGCATCTTCACTACATCATTTTTATGCATATAAAAAATTTCACTTAAGGTTCACAAACAGTTTGTTGTTGCCACGAATCCTGGCAGACAGAAAATATTACAGCAGCAATAAACCAGAGAGCTGTAAAAAAGAATTCATTATCACTTGGTTGGGGTGTGGACCCAGCATAGGCAAAGGAGCAACTGCAGTCTGTCCCTAACAGTGCCAAGGTCAGCATTCAGCTTATCTGGTAAGCAGCTAAGGATGGTCTGTCCTTGGACTTTCCAAGGGCTAAATTTTTCTTCACCATGCTCCTAAGACGCCAACAGTGGCTCTTACAAGATTAGTGACAACCACCATGGGATCAGCCACTGCTCTCCCTTTGTTTCAGCAATCTATTCCAGCCTTTGCATCTGCCTGCAACCTGCAAGACCAAGCAGCTTGTACCATTTTTGCCTAAACTGAAAGAAGATTGATACGAAAATAGGAAAGAAATCTCAATTATAGGCCGAGCTACAAAAGCAGGAAATTAGTTTTAAGGGCCACACTGCAAAAACTGAGACACAGGCCAAGAGAAGGCAGTTTGCAAAGTGACAACGAGGGGCTGAAATCTGACACAGTGCAGGACACCAAAGCAGGGAGCTGTGAGCAGGGCTGCTTTCTTCCCTAACCTGAGGCTCTTGCACCCACTGTAGCTATCAGCTGAAACCTCTGTTCTTAGTCTTCACCATGTTCCTGCCCACATGCAAGTTTGGAAATAGCTAACCTGGAAGTCAACCTCTGAGCTGTTGACAATTCATTTTAAGTGGAAAATGTCCAGATAGAAGTCATGACGTTTATCACAGGAATAGAAATGAAAGTGGGGAGCACACACCATAACAGCTGTCAGTTTGTCACAGGTCACATCTAGTATTTCCTACCAATGTTGCATATTTTAATAGTATGGTAGGCAGTTTATTCCTCAGCTCCTGCTTGGATTGAAACTTACGAACAATGCAAGAAAGTGATTGTGCTTCAAACTATTTTTATTTACATGAAAGCATACGAGTAATCTGACATTTAAAGCTAAATCTTCAAACCCCATTCCCTGTGTAAACAACGTACTCAATTTCTGTAGTAACCACCTTCATCTGCCAGTGCTCTATGTACTTCATTCAGAGTCAAAGTAAATTACACTCTAGTTCTTGCTTGAAGTTGTAAATTTTTAGCGCTCTCTATTCTAGCTTTTATCTCATGAGGTTTCTCAAAAAATCTCACAAAGGCTGGCTCGTTCAGTAAGGATGCCAGAATCTGCTCAAAGGCAAAAGACCATTCGTGGCCCTTTCGCAGACCCTGCGCTCCACTGCCTCCGGTCTGCTCAGAGCTGCCCTCCTCCCGTCCCTTCCGGGGGCTTTCAGCAGACACCTCTGTTGTGGCAGCCAGACTTCTGACTGGTGATGTGGGACTCTGAAGCCTTCTCCCAACTTCTTCCATCTTCAGCAGGAGACTGGTAACCACTGCTATGGCGCGGTACAACAGTTCCTCCTCAGGATCTCCGTGGAATAGATTGTACAGAGTTTTTGAGAACTGGATGAACTGAGACTGAACAGATACACAGATGAGACTATTCAGAGAACAGCAACACAACTCTCCTGTTTCACTATGCACTGCAATCTCAACCCAGTGCTTGCAGCTGCTGGGCACCTGCTGCAAAAACTGCTCTACTGGCAGCATAGTCACAGGCCCTGGTAAACGCGTGTGTCTGTAAGCCCCCCTCGTGCAGTCTACAGTAAGCTTACAGTTAAAGTAGTCTAAAAAACAAACAGTGTCATCATTAATGTGTAGTCTGGAATTTAAGGGATCCTAAGAAACCTTTAGAAAAATACTAACAGAACTTAAAAAGAAACACAGAAGTGAAAAATCAGGCCCGTCATACTGCGACACAGATGGTTTTACCTGATTCATTCTTGGCAAATCCTTAATGCTTTCTTCTTTTTTAAGAAGTTCATCTTGCCATTGCTTCAGATAGGCCTGAATATCAACCTTGCCCTTCCCTATTTGACAAAAATGAATAAAGAAAGTGAGCAAACAAGAACTGAGAGCTCCCCTAAGGTACAATGAGCAGAACAACTGCATCCCCCGTGTCATTCCTTCAGAGCTGTGGGGCCAAGGTCAGAGTTTACTTTGCTCCCACCACCACAGGACTACACTTACTTAACACTATAATGTCAGCACTACACTGGAGATTATGTGAATTAGTGTACTTTGTCAGCATGCACTTTCCAAGCCCTGCTCCCACAAAAGACCCCAGGATTCTCTACCTTTTTCTGGGCTGCTCTTCAAAGCATCACTTTCAAGACTATCCCCAGCAGATGAAACTAGAGTTTAGAAGAAAAAAAAAAGAAGTTACTGCTTTGAGCAAGGAGGATCACTACTTCACTTCCTTTTATCAAAAATTCTTTCCTTAGGGAGCAAGACTCCCAAAAGACCCTCCCCACGAAGAAACCATGTGGCAAAATCTGCATTCCTTCTAAAAAAAATAGAAGCTACCACAAGGCTGGAGACAGCAAAAAGCCACCATCAGCCATATCAAGTAGATAACGTCCAGAATGCTTTACGCTCCACACGTTGAACAGTGCTGAGGACAGGACCAACGTGCTATGGACAAAACTTTTGGATAGTTTCTAAACATCAGATAGAGTCTTTCTTAAAAAGATGTAAAACCAAACAGTTTTCCAACTCCATAAATTTAAATCCCATATTTTTTATTTTTTTTTTCAACTGACAGGATTTAAAATATAAACAAAGAATTTTGAAACCCAGTCTCAGAGTCACCATATACTTGATTATTAAATGTCTTGAAGCAGGAAATATCATCTCTTGAATGCAATGAAACTGCAATGGTCACCATTTCAACAACTGTCGTAACAGAAAGGCTTCCTACTATGCTGAAAAATGCTGACCAAAGATATTCCTCTATTTCAAATAAACACGTGCAGCCTTTGAATTCATTCATCAGGCATACCCCATTCAGGACACAGCATCACTATTCTGTGTGCAGCTGTCAATGAAATGGCCCCTAAACGATGCTCATAATGAAGCCACATGCTGCTACAGAAGAAAACTGCTCTGAAGAGAGATGGCTACCCACAAATTCTGCACTGCTTTGTACAACAGAGCTATTTACAGAACATCTATGCAGAAGATTCTTGCTATCAGTAACATGATTTGCTGGAACGGGTGAATTCAAACCAGATTTCAGAGGGTTTCAGAAGAAAACTCCCCATTTTTCACCACGAGATAATTAACAGAATCCTTCCAATATTCTGTAGGCGAAGTCACACACTTACCACTGAGTTGACTGAAGTGGATCAGTTCTTCTTTTGAAAGATCAACGCCTTTGGAAGGGCTCAGAGATTCCACTTCAGTAAAAGCTGCAATAAAGAATTGAATAAAGTGGTTTTGGAACTCCTAAGCATTGCCAAAGGAGGGAGAAAAAGCAAAAGCTTTAGACTCATATATCATCCCTACGAACAAAACAGGAATGGTGTCTGAATGTAGTAAGTACTTCCCAAAGTGTACACTACCCTGCAAAAAATATTACAGCTACAGGACTGTACTGCAGCCAGAGCTACTGACTGCAAGAGGAAAGAAAAGCTAAAGAAACAAAACCAACCAAACAAAAATGCCAGGAGCAGCCTCTTACTCACCTGGAGGGATGTGCAACTTAAAAAGAAGCTTGAGTTTGTCAGTGAAACTTCCATTATACATGGTATCTGTTTGAGACAAGAGGAAAACAGGCTATTCAGCTGGGCCAAGATTTAAAAGACCCTCTTACCTACACAACCACAATCCACAGACACTGCAACAGGACATGTCCTATCCTACATGGAGTGCAACTAGAGATGAAGCTTAAAGAAATACCAGCTGCAACTACACCTAGGGTTTACCTACACTGAGGAAAGAACGTGACAACATTTGAGCACACTATCCCATGAAGTATTTCTGAATACCCAGTGAAACACAAAAGCATGCTCACTAATTAGATCGCAACACACCTGTAACAAGCTAACACTGAGGTTACAGAAGAAAGGACAGAGCACAGGATGCCTGCGACTTACTGAAATAAAACCACAGCACCAAAGAAACGTAGCATCAAAGTCTTCCCAGCATTTGCCTTTCCTATTTTTACTCCTGAGCTTTGAAAACAAGATGAAAGGAACGGAGAAGCAACTTTGAAAACTTTCAGTTCCCCAGAGGTATAAAGCACAGGTTGTCCTGCACATCTGTGTATGAGACAGCTTACAGAGTGAGGAAGCACTGATTACCAAAACCACAAGCTCATGCCTTTTTTTTTTAATAGTAAAGCTGGATTTAAATATAATTTCAAATAAGAGATTACTCTCCAGAGGATTAATGTGTCAGAGGAGTTACTAATTTGTAAAGCTCTCTGTTAGCTATTTCAGTACAATTCAAGATAATCTGACCCTAAAATAAGAAGCTCCTTAAGCTCGCTACATGTGCACAAAGGCAGTAACACCCAGGACTGCTTCCAAAATGGAGCTCCCTAGTGAATGTACTATGCATATGTGCTGTTCTCCTACCAAGCACGCAGGAAAATTGTTTGAAGTTGATAAGGCCATGGCAGTTCTCATCCATCAGTCTGAATGTCCACAGTGCAATGGAGTCTCTGTTTGCACAGTGCGACCAGGGGCTCAGGAGATGGCAAAGAACCCTGAATTGCTGGCAATCAATTCGATACTGCTCCAGATACGGCAGGCTGGCATCGTGGTGTTCTAAAACAGGACTATTTACATTCCAATAGCAGGAAAGAAAGTGTTCCCTCTGCAAAGGGAAGGTTATAGATATTAGATTGTATGCAGAAACAACTATTTATCTGGGTTAAAGAAGTGGGGAGTCAACTATGTAAATTGCTTTTAAACAGACATGTAAAAAATATGACAAATCTAGCCTTCACCTCCCTTAAAGCTATTCCACACTCGTTTTGTCCACCATTAAGACAGATGTTTGAGAAGTGATGTAGATGGCATATTACCTTGAATAATTCATAAAGATCGTCAAGATCATTAGGACTGAATTTTACATCCTGAGACACAACACGAAGCTGAAATTAAGAAAAAAATTAATGAGTAGTCTCTTTTTGGAATAAGCCCACAAAATGTGAGAGACATGAACTTAAATTATAAAAACAGTTTGAGTATTCCAGGTTTTGGCATGTTAGAATCAGCAGTAAGAACAGAATTGCTTCTTAAAAGCAATTAGAGGGTGATCAGAAGGAGATGAATGGGAAAAATAATTTCTCCCTAAAAAGGGAACTTAAAGCATCATTTGCATACATGGAGCCTACGCTATGAAACCCAAGAGATACAATTTGAATGTTAGACTATTTATAATGAACACAGCTTTCTTTATAGTGGACAAATGCACATTCAGCCCTTACCTGTGAAGCTGAATCCCCATTTTTAAATGATGAAGAAAAAAAAAAAACACAACAGGATATTCAAACATGACCAGTATCCATCTTCACAAGAGGTATGTTTTGTGAAATGAAATACAACAGTTAACAGCTTAGCTCAATATACACTGAGCTACAAGCCACATCCACTACTGATGAAAGCACTGCTTGCTAAGTAGGCAACTATTATTACCAGTTACTGCAAATAAGGCAATGAAAAAAGCAGAGGGAAGTACCTTGCAACCCCTACCTTCATTCAGGAGCTTGAAATAAAAGAATGATGCTGGTAGCTGAAGAGCTGCCACACCAAGCATGCATTACCACACACCCACACACATCACAGACACAAGAAGCAATACTTGGTGAATGCTGACAATAATGCAGTGCAATAATCTCTTTGGTGACATTTGGGATGGCTTCCACAAGAAAAAATGCAAGTAATTAATTGTCTTACTGTAGCACTACGTCTCAAAGAGAAATGCATGAGCAATTTAAGAACAGCAGAAAGAAATATAGGGCAGCCTGTTCCCATAGATGCAAAATGTCTAAGTTATGCCAGCTTTTAGAAGCTGTATGTGATTATGGCATTTGTAATGAGAGCAGAAGGTCATGCTGTGATTCAAAGACTGAAAACATCACAACCCAAACCTCAGCTAACAGACACCCTGCAGACAAGAGGGATTTCAGCCTATTAATGACTTATTTGGCTTTGGAAATTGTAGCTGTTCTTAAGATTTTCCAAAGAGCAAGAAAGGGTTTTGTTCTTCAAGTCGCTCACCACATTCTGCTTGGTTGTAGATTCTAATGTCTGGATCACATAAAGCCTGTTTCTGCAGCGCATGCTCTCAACATCTTCATACCGAATATCTCCGTATCTCTGTGAAGAAAAATACAGTTCTATGAAATCGACTGCTGTTAGATACATCTAAGGTATTTTTTGTCTTTTTCTGCAGCAAAATACAAGTGTGGATGCACAGGAAGACCACAGAAACTGAGCAAAGAATCACATCAAGACTCTCAATAAACAGTGCAATTTTAAAAAAGAAATTGTTTAAAAGACTGATGAAGGAAAAGAAACTGCAGTTCACTGTATGGGAAGACAAAGTCTAATGCATATGTTGTCAGGCTTGAAGTTCACTTTAGTGAACTCGAGGTGGAGGAGAAACCTACCTACAAATGGATTAATCCCCGATCTAAAACTGAGGACAGAACGAGCAGGAGAAGCTAGATCCATATCCTCCCCAGTATTACAAAGCTAGACACTGCAAGAATCAAAGCAGCACACTGAAAGGAAATGCTAGAAGATCCTAACTGATCCTCCTCACCCAGCGCATCCCAAAACACCCATTTCACAAGTACACTAAGCTAATTATGTACAGTTTCCTGCAGCAGCCATTGTGTCAGATGTTACCACCATCTGCAGCAATGGAAAAGGAAAGCAATCAGCCTCAAACGAGCAAACACCACTGCTGCTTCTCCTGTGCTTCATCACTGAGCTGACATACTCCTATCAGACTGAATGATGACAATACATGACCTGTGATGAGTCCAGGGAACTCCATTCAGGACAGCCTAGTAAGCACACTCTAAGGCAGTTAAAGAAAAAGAAGCAAAAAATACAAAACCAAATCTATGTTATAACATTTATGGTTGTCAGCAAGCCTTAGCAAAATGCACACCATAATCCCTACCACTCTAGAGAGGTTTCCTACGCTAGTTTGAACAACATAGCCTGCACAACATAAACACTGTGTGGGGTGCAAAAACATACCCACAAGCACACATACTTCATTTGACTCTCGGATCAAGTCAGTAATGTCCACTTTTGGGTGATCACCCTTTGCGTCACTGAGGTTGGAGCCCTGCTGCACAGCTGGAGGCAAAGGACTGTCTTTGTTGGTGACGCTGTCAAAAAACCTGCGTGAAGCAAACACATGAGAAATCAGCAGGAAGCAGATTATCACAACAAAATGGTAACGTCAGCATCTACCAAAAAAAACATGAGCATAAATAGCAAATCAACACCAATGTGCAAAAGTAGCAAAGAATATCAGCATGAACAGCACAAATCTGATGTAACGGTAGTACAGATAGCAAACACAGGAACCCACAACCCAGAGAAGGCTGTATAGCCTTGAAATTTTCAAGACACAGCTAGACAGTAGCACGGCTGATGTGACCCAGCGCTAACAGTAATCCTTTCTGCAGGTGGAAGGTGCACCAGAGGCTTCCAGAGTCCCCTCCACTTAATTTCTCCTGGTTGTTCTCAGTGTGCTACATAACCAGGGCAGAGGAATGGAGCCTTGTGCTGAACTGTGACCCAGGCAGTCTTAATTCCCTCGGATACATAAGCCAAGACATGCCTGATCTGTACTATCCATCACACCTACATAACCAGGCTAAACAGCTCCAACATGGAGGTCAGCCAATTCTTTGGCCAGCACTGAGAAACAAATGTCTATCTACGTCACTCTATGGAGTGACAGCTTCCTTTTTCTGGAGGTGACACAAACCACTGCCATCATTTTATAAATGCACCAGAATGCTGCAGGCTGGATTCACTGTGCAACGGAAGTGTTGCAGCCAAGCAAAATGCTGAAAGTCAAAGTTCAACAGAAGTTCACAACAATCACCAGCATACTAGGTGGCAAGTGGAAGTGGCAGTTTACTTGGTTGAAGTGAAACAAGACTTCACTCTGCTTTTAGATTTTATAATTTAATAAATCAAAAAACTGAGTGAATGTGCTCTTACTGCTGTTGCTTTTAAGTGCCTAAACTTTAAACAAGCACAGTTATGTTTTAAAATCAGCACCAGGCTGCATGGTGTCTTAAAATAAAAACACATTTTCCTCAGTAATTCCATAGTTCCTACCCCATCCAAACATACAACGTTTAAAAATCTGGCTAAAGGGAAATTCTTATTATCACTGCATAACAATTACAACTCATGACTCAGAGCAGAGTCTCAGCACAGTGTTTCTGTTTTAACACTCCCTGACACACAATCACAGGAGCAGCAACAGCACTATTTAGGCAGCTAGTCAAGCAAAAACCATGCAAGTAATGCATCAGTTAAGAATGCACTTGATCTGAATTTTTCTTTGTAATATAGAACAGCTATCTGGTCAGAACTGTCCTCAATATCATTATTTTTTTCCCCCTATTTTCAACCATTAGCAGCAAAGGAGCCAGCAGCCAAAACTACAAGAACTGAGCTGCAGTATATTTTTTTACCAAGTGAATGTCTGAACTGTTTGGAACAGTCTTAGTGTTCTCTAGACTAGCTGGTTATCATCAAAAGTCATCTTTTAGTTAAAAATAATAATAAAAACAGTTTTTACTTTAAAACACATGAAATCGCAGTGGTTCTAGCAGAACTTTAAAGGAGGATGGGCTTTTCAGAGTACTGAGGCATATTTCCCAACCATCCCTTCCAGAATTTCAACCCCAGACAGGCATTCAGTTACTCTGAAGCCTTCAGAATTCTTGGCCAGATGTGTCCCCACTGCCCCATGACACTTCTATTTGCACTTACAGCAGCTGCTACGCTGTCTTTAAGAACAAGACATGCACTGATACCTGTTGAGAACAGTCACTGCTTCTGCATCATCCTTACAAGTCAGCAACTTATCCATGTTGTACTCCAGCACTGCAAGTCCCAGCTGCAAGATTGCCTTTATTCCATCATAGAAGAAACAGTCCACCACATTGACTGCACTCTCAATAGGCAGCACACTGATAAAAAGGGTAAGGAACCAGGAGAGAGAGACCGAGGAGAAAAAAGTCATGCCCATCATGTGGTCTGTCAACTGAGGCAGATGAACTCTGATGAGCTCCTCAAACACTGCCTGATCTACCAAGGCACCTGCAGGGAGAGGATAACAAAACCACCACCCATATCTTAATAAAGAGAAGTGTATTTTTCTCACTAGCCAGAAATCAAGCTCCTATCCAAATGCAATTTGTTGTAAAAGCAAGCACAGACCTAGCTGCACAGCACCACTGTCTCCATTCCCTGTGATGGAAGCTATGCACTCTACACATGGACTTCTGCATTCCGTAAAGTGTGCTGGCACTCCTGCATGTGCATGGCTACTGCCACTGATTCCCCTGTCAGCCGATGCATCCTCTCTGCAATGAGAGAGAAACCTCACAAGCAATTTTCTTCTAGCATATATATCTGCAAGCTTTAGTAGTAGGCTAAGTGTGCTTCTGGAACACTCAGTTTCTTTTATTTCAGCTGGCTAAGTTCCAATAGATGGTACGAATTGCAGCTATAATTGCAATAGAACTGTGTAATAGTCTAAGAAAATATTTCTAGAGTAGTTATCCCTAGGATAACGACAATATGTGAAAAATCCCATCTGCTCTCTCTTAAGAAGGGCCTTGGGATGTTCTCTGTCTCTTCCCATTTTCTACTTTACAATACTGAACCAAGGACCACAGTTTCTCTGGACTAGTTAGGTTCCAGCTCACTCCTTACATTTGTTCTCAAGGACTGATCATCATATTGAGCTCTAGATAGATTACAAGGCAGACTGATGTTACCAATGATTCGACGATTGAAATAATCAGGTAGCATCCTTTCACAGACAGCAACCAGCAGCCAGAACGCTTCCTCCTCCTTAGCATACAGCAGAAGTACTGATGTCAGTATGTTCATTGCCTGTAAACATTTAAAGAAGAAAGGAAATGTGTATGAGGAAAGAGGGTGAAATCCCAACTGTATCATCATTTGTTAAAGTTATATTTCTGAAGGCCTTTTACACCACGTGTTTAGAGTTCTAGGATAACCTGCAGCCCTATTAGGTATAAGGATTCAACATTTATATTCAGAGCATAGTATTTAAACTACATAAAAACGTTATTAAGTTTTAAAAGTCTAGTAGAAATGCAGGCACAAGTGCAATGGAGATAGCAGTGTTTAACAACAAATTCAAGTACAACACAAAAGCTCAGGTGACATGCTGGGATGAAGTAAGTAATGCACAGGAACAAAAATAAACCGTTAGGTATTTCTGTGACTGATTTCATGAGATGCACTGTACTGCCATGATGAACTCATGTTGAGGCTCTCAAAACTACAATACCTGACAGTATCCAATCTGAGGATTCCTGTATGCATAAGCTGTAAGAACTCTCCGGAGGGCAGAGATTCCTGTGTCGCTTTGAAAAGCAGGATGCTCAGGTAAGGAGCGACGCAGATCCCGTTCGATTTCATCAGTAGCTAAAGTGCATGTTCCCAAGGACCTCTCCACCAACTCAGTGTAATAACCAGGGCTGGAGGCCATGTCGTTGACAGCACCTGACAGTAAGTATTACTGAACAGCATTAGAGGACAATACTAAAGCATCTATGCCATTTTCTGCAATCTGTAAGAAAAACTCTGCTGACTGTTGAGATACCTCCATCTTCTTTGTGTAACATACCAGAGTAATTCTACTGAAATTAATGGCATTCTTCTGAAATAAAAACAGAAAACAAGGCTTGGAGGAAAGTTACTTTCCATCACAAAGTTGACTTTGACTTACTTTTTTTCCTGTTTCATTAGGGGGAAAAAAGAAACAAACTTCCTTTCACCCCTGCTCTGTCACAGGTACGTTCTACAGCAGAAACTCACAAAAGTATACTCAGAGCTCTGGCAAGAGATTCCCTACGTGTATGAAAGTCCATAATTCCAGTATCTTTCACTCTCTAAACCAAGCAACAGTGTCTAACAAACAGCTACCAATACTGGAGCCAAATTCTGTTCTAGGAAAACGTTTTTATTTTGGTCTGGGAACATTATCCTCCCAGAAAGCTTCAATCCAAACAATTGAAAAACAGGCTCATAAACACACATTGCTTTTTAGCAAGTAGAGGCACTGCAGAAACTGACTGTTCCCTTGAAGTTCACGAATAGAGCATACAGTCATTATCTTTTAGCTGAGTTTGTTGCAGAAGATGATGACACAGGTTTAGTTTGAATCAATGCTGGACGTGTTTTAAAGGCTCTTCCTTCAGAAAGGTTTAGATAAATTGCCACAGGAAAAAGCTTTTTTTTTTTTTTTCCTCTCAGACCATGGTCAGCCAGTAACAAGAACATCCACATAATATAGTCCACAAAATGAATGCATTGTACTTGCCGTGCAGTACCTGAGAAGAGCAGCCAGAGCTCTCCTCTTAAGGCCTCTGGGATCCCTCTTACAACTAAATCTCGAGTCTTCTTTGTTCGAAACATGCTGACACCATGACCTCGTTCAAAAAAAAGGATATTCCAGGACTGTTCTTTCATTTTTTCTTTCAACTACAAAAATCAAAAAAAAAAAGAAGACTATTATGTATACTGGAAGGTTTTTTTCATGTTTCAGAAAACAAGACTCTATTTTTCTCTCAGTTATATTCATGTAAACTGTAAATGGCAGCACCGGTATCAGTACTGCTATCTGAAACAAACACTGATGCAGATCAGAGCCTACTGGAGGGAACTCACTTCAGCAGGGGGGTTGTTGGACTAGATGGACAGGACAGTGAAGTTACACAGATAAATTCTACCATCATAGTTCTGATACATTCCAAAAACACATAATGGGGGAGCAAAATTCATCATTTTATATAATTCCTGTGGCAAAAAAAAAAACTAGAGGCACTTGTTAAGGTTCTTTGTCAGCTATTTACACATAAATACACGTTTATATGATACATACACATAAAAATCCGATCGTAACTTGGGTCAATTTTAAGGTACTCTTATTTTTGCTTCCTGGTATATTTTCTTGGTAAACAGTAAATTAACAGAAGGAAAAAAGATGAAATTGAGTATGAGCAGTAGAAAAGAAAACCAAGAAAAATAGGAGATTGCTTCTGTGTGGCTCCAGTTTTCTCTGCACTAGTCTGCAAACTCTAACAAACAAGCATTTGGCCATGATGATGCAGTGCAATAAAGCAAGAGATTACTTGCATAGTCAAATCATACTGTTACAGATATCTGTTTAATTATTCAGATAAATCAACATTCTGCAATTTCAATGCGCCTTCGAATTGTTCTTTGCTAACAGCAATGAAAATGCATTAACTCTGATACAGACAAGATAATATCCCACAGAAACTCAACAGCGAAGGCAGGCTGTTCTTCCTTTCTGGCTCATCACACTTTATTGCATTACATCAGTTGACAGATTTGGAACAGGGTGGGTACAAATGGTGCAAAGCACACAGCGTTGACATGACATCAGTGCCATTGTTTTGCCACTGCTTCTAAATCTCTCCTCTGTTTTTATTTAACACAGGCACCAAGTAGCAATGGGAAAGAACCAGTAAATCGGGAATTTGCAAAAGAAGGAAGTTGAGTGGACTAAGAAGGGGAACTGATCACTGAAAACACACCCAGATTGGTTTCACATTTAATCAAATATTTATCAACCAGGGAGAACACTTGGCACGCCAGCAATTACCATCAACACGCAAGACAACTGTGTATGCATCTGAACATCAACAGCACCAGCCATGTCAGTGAAACCTCCTGCAGAGGAAGAGCTGGCAAAAATTTCTTCTTTAAACATAACTGAAGTTACAACATTTTACTTGTGGAAGAAGTGGCAGCAGTGAACAGGTCCTTTGTAAGGTACAACATTTCTAATAACCACTGAGTGTGCTCCAAAAGAGCAATTCAATTAATCTAATGTAAAACAACTGATCATCAGTGGTTGCAGCCCACGAGAGACTCTGGTGCTCAGACACTCTGTATTTTCTACCCTTGCAGCAGTGATATTTAATATTGTTAAAGCAATTAAAGGCAAGATGCAGAAAGGAAAAGTAACTTTTGCCACTTTTTTCCTCTGGACTATAAAAAGTAGAATTTTAAAATATTTTCCTTTTATTCCTACTAAAGGAGTGCTTATTTTCTGATATTCTAATTATATATAATTCTAAATTATTTTCTGATATTTCTAATATCGTAAGTTCCACATCTGAATATTTGTCTAATTTTGCTGAAAGGCTAATTTTAAAATGAAACTCTTCTGTCCTCTTGTACACACCATGGAGAAGCAAAAATAGCACATCTTACTGAAAAAAAAAAAAAATTAAAAAAAAAATACATTGAGTGTGTAATTTTGATAGATGGATGCATAAAAGAATGAAGCAATTAAGAAATCAATCAAGTTTCCTGATAACATTCCCCTTGTTCCTGAAAAGTTTGTAGTGACTTTGTACCTTGACAATTCAGACAGATCTGAAACACGCTCACTATCTCAAAAGAAACAGCCAGTTCTTCCCTGAGGGGCTGGAAGAGCAGGAGGAATTAGCTCTAGGAAGATGAGGCACATCGTTATTAAACAAGTTGAGCAGAAAATTGAATAGAGCCATGAAGAACCTTGTGGAAAACACTGGACATGGAGATAAAAGAAGACTGGCAAAGCTGCAGAGGAATCCAGCAGCCTTGCTGGAGTATGTTTTGAATGTGCTTAAGTCTTTTCCAGTTAGATTCCAAAAACTGTTGGCCACTTTATCCCTTACCATTTTAGGGTCTAGATTCTCGGCATCCTGAGGATGGTAGACAGTCATTAGGGCTTCTGTACTGACAGTTTTGGTGTTATCCCTCAGATCTATCTTTGATGGCACCTCATCAAAATCCTTTGGACTGTCAGAAGCAGAACTACCTGCAACCTTAACAAATAATTAAATAGATATTAGCAATGGTAGTGATAAACACCAAACAATCCTTCAAGAAGCAGCACTCATGGCAGAAACCATTTTGCTTCCATCCTAGTTTATCAGATTAGTTTACAGGTACCAGATTTACTAAAATGTAGACTGGCATACAATTCTTGGATGGACAAACAGACTTCCAAAATAAATGAATAGAAAGCAGTCCCCATTCTGAACAGGCAGGCTTCAAGAGGCTACTCTTGTAAAATTCATCTCTACAACCAAAAACTTAACGATGAAAGGACAACTATTAATTATGAAAAACAGTAATAGGCAGAGACCTGATCATCAACCAAGTCAAAAGAACACCATTAATTTCAATGGAGCCACATACAGAACTACACAGAAATGCTGAGAGCATTTCGAAAACAGCATTAGAACCTGGATGCTTTTCAAAACCTGATGGAAACAATATAAGAGAACCCAAAAAACAATGCATTTAACAACAACATCACTGTTCACATGCTCTCTTACTCATGGGCATTGAAATACTTATTTTTTGCTTTTTAGGGCTGCCTGGTCGTGTTTTCTTATTTCTCATGCATTAAACCAAGTACAGATTTCTTCACATCCAGAAGTAACCTTGTAATTATTCCATCCCCTTTCTGAGTCAAATAGTCAGCTGACCGAAAAAAAGGCACAGTGAAACATAACTTTCTGTCAGACTGATGGGCTTCAGTTTTAAAGTAAAGGGGCTGAAGGCAAGAAATGGGAACACGATTTAAAAAACAGAAAAAGAGACAACTTGTTATCTAGAGGTGCAGCAGACTCCCTCTGTCTAGATTCAGACTTAAATAGTGCATGGCATCAAGAACACAGGTAACTATACATTAAATTCTTAGTGAGACTAGACAAACTTATTTCTAAGAATAGCTAATGAGAAACTAGAGTTGGCTGAAGACTTACCTCTGTATTTATATGCTGTGGACTTGAAGTTGCATTGCATTTGATTCTGAGCTTTGTGACAAGCTGTTCAAAATCTCTAACTTCAGTGAAACGAAAAGCTCTTTTTCCTTTGGTACTAATGTTGACTCCTCTGTTGGCTGGGTCAGCCTTATCCACACCTATCACCTAGGGAGACAAGGCTGCATTAACGAGGCAAGCCATCCCAATACATTTTACCACCTTGTTTCCAAAAGAAAAAGCTATTAAAAATACACACGTACATGGAACAGCAGTAGGAAGCACCACACAAACAGAATAAGTAATGTAAGTAATGAACTGGCTATGTTACAGCTTAGAGGTCTGGAGCTGTTTTCATACACGGCAGTGTCATGCCACAGGCTTTCTACCAGGTACTGAACATCTCTGAAAAGGTTTTTCTCAGCAGAAAGCGTGGAGCATGCTTGGAAATCTTGCCGCGTCCAACCTGCTGGAGCTGTTACTTTTTTCCTGCCATCAAAAAGACAGACATGTAATGAAACGAATCAAGTTCCATGAGAACAAATTCCAGCTGTCATAATATGTGATGGCTGGAGCTGATTTTAATTGCTATTGTGAAAGAGCTACATGTTAAGAGTAGTTAATACACCTTAATAATGCACATAACTGTAAGATAATCATGAATGTGTAGAGCAGCTGTCACTGCTGATGTTTTTACATTGTTACAGAAAAGGAAAGGAAGACAGACTAAATGAAAGAACTCTGTGGTACTGCAGAACAAACAGTGAGGGCCTGACAAACAACAAGGACATCATTTAGTCAGCTCCTTTAACAGCCTCTTTTTTTTTCCCCCCCTCAACATATGGATGTTGACATTGTTAGCAAGACTGTTTACAGACTGGTTAATTGTAGCACATATCTGGATGCTGCTAAAAAATCTCCAAAAAAAACCTTAAAAAAATCTCTAACAGCAGAAATGTGGCAATGTCACAGACCACACAAAATCAGGGAGATAGAGAAGGCTTTTTTTTTTCTTAGATATGACTCCACAGTCTATCTGTAGAACATACAGAACTAGGAAAGCTGTCCTTCATAATACAATCCTTGTTCAGTTTGTTCAGACTACCAGCTGGTGCTGGTATTTGTTCACTGAAGAATGTCAATGGATTTTCCTACAGATGTTTGAACAGACAGCACTTCTCAACTACTGCAAAAAGATGAATGGCACTACAGAGCTAAGGAAGAAACACAGAACAACTATCTTCAAGATCCTCTACCTTTTCCAGTCTTTTTTATCTTGAGAATCTTACATTAACTCAACCTCAAAAAGTAAGCTTTTTTTAATTTTTACTATTTTTTTTTTTTGATAGATGAACTATTTTAAAAATTGGATTCTGTACCCAGCTACAGAAATGAGAGTAAACGGAAATGGCAAAAATGACACAGGGGACAGTGTACAAACATGGAAGTAGCTCTGTAAGCAGTATTACTATAAGCAGCATCAAAAGTAGAGGGAAATCATGACATCACATAAACTAAGGTTATTCTAAGGAAAATCTGATCAACTGACACTAAGCTACACAAGTGCAAATCTTCTGGTATAAGTGGCTCTGACTGTAGCTTGCATTACCTCTCTTAATGGAATGATTACACTGCACAGGCTGCCATCCTGGCTAGCAAAGCAGATGTAGTTTTCTGAAATGCACATTTTCCCATGGGCATTGTAATGAGTGAAAGGAACCCATAAGAAGCACTCGTGAACTTCCTTCAAAGTCTCTTCTTTGGGTAGCCTGAAGAATGCACTGAACTGCTGGCTGTGGGCTCGGCTCTCCAGGCCTCTGGATTAAAAAGCAAACGAAGCAGAAAATCAGGGAGGAGACAGAAGAGAAAAATGGAATATTTTTTAAATATCCTGAAAAATACAACGGTTGCAATGTCTTGTGGAAAGGCTTCTTGAAACAGTAAAATATCATGCACTCTCAATTCCACTATAGTGTCAATTGGAAGGTTCAGCATTTTGCTTGAAGAGGTAACAAAGTGCAGGAGCAGACCAGTACACACCCACTAAACAAAACACTGCAATGCTTCAGTAAATAGGAATAAATTCAGACACATTCTTGCACAGCAAAGCACTTTGCTGAATCAGGGTCTAAAGGGAGAGGAAAAGAAATATACACTATTAGCCTAGTCTGCTGTGCTTTCCAACCCATCAAAATACCCCAATTATCTATGAAATTCAACCCAAACCTGGCTTTGTTGTTAGTGTTCTATACAAGGAAAGAACAATTTGACTTCTTGACTTTTTTTTTTTTTATTAATCTGTTGCATAGTTGGCTTTAACTAGGAACAAATTAAACGGAGCTACTGGAAGCCAGGCTAAGGCTGAAATGTACAGGAAGATGCTTTCTCATACTTTCCTCTTTGCACAGGTAATATTTTCCAACACAGACTTAGTTAATTAAAATTACCCAACTGTAGCCTTAGTTTCCTGGTTACTTTTCACAGTAAGTAGCCAATCAAAACCTCACAATTTAAGTGGGAATTCGGATTGCTCCTCAAGGAGAGGGCAACATTCACATCAACTGAAACTAGAAATAAATCATAAATTTATTACAAGAAATAAGCACACTTTCCTTGAGAAGGAAGGACTCCAACCATCTGTTTATTTATGCACACACCTATCTCCCTTCCTAAAACATGGCCAGAAACAAGGAAAACCTGCAGCTCACTGACTTTATCACCTGTCTCCAGTACAGAAAAGCCATGCAGTTACATACATATGTATTTTAAATCATTTATTCTTCTCCTTCTCACTGAGCTTCTTTGTAGACTCTGAAGCTCCATTCTTGATTTCCTATTCCCAAACACTGCTAAAACAGCTTTTAAAAATACAAACTACTATAAATTATAATTGAAGCCCAGTTCTGAAGGTTTGATCACTTCCTGCCTTCATACAGCCTTTGATACTGCAAAGTAATAAGAGGTCACAATGTCATGCAAGCCTTTGATTCCAAACTTTAACAAGATAGTTATTTAAGAGAACACCATCTTTGCCAACGTTTAGTGATCTCCCTCACACAAGAATTTTCCTCCCCTTTGTCTAAAAATGACTGAGTCCAGAACTGATGGATTATAAGCAGTTACCTCTTGGTGATCTGCAGGGGGTCATGCAGGACTAGGTCATTTTCAAATGTCTCCTTATCAAAAAGCCTCCTAACAGCATAGTTTGCCAGCTGCTCCATGAGAAGGAATGTTTCATTAATGTGCAAAAACATGGAAAAATAGTGATCTTCCCCATGGGAGCAGACATGAATGCTCTCTGTCAGAATAACATTGGAAGTCTTCTCAAGTTTTGATATTGCATCCCAGGAGATAATAAGCTTTACTGAAAATACAAATATAAGGAGATATGAGTAACTCCTCTTCAGCTGCTACCCTTGTATTAATCAAAAAAGCAGCAGCACTAGAAAGTATAATTAAACAATACTGTTAGATCACAACTCCTTTGGAAATGGCTACAAATTCACATGGACAAAAAAGACTCTCTCCACAATTCCTATCAAATAATTCCACTAGAATGATTTTTATAGAAAGAACATTAAAGACACACCATTTCTGAAAATACAAGTCTGGACTGTCTTTTTTTTTTTTTTTTTTTTTTTTTTTTTCTTTTTTTTTTGCTCTAATATGAAAATGCAAATGCAAATTGCAAACAGACTCACGTAAGCTACTCTACTTTAACAATTATCAATTAGACACCTGCTCACATGGCAAATCACTTCCTCATGACATAAGAAAAATGCTTCCACATGTGAAACATATACAGTAAAACATGAAAGGACCAGCCTTAGCTTAGGCCTTACTTACTTTCTGCTCCCAGCAAAAATGAGTAAAAGCTCAGGAAGTTGGTACTAAGATAAAGCCATCCTTGACAAGGCACCCGGCCCTTCCAGTAGCTGCATGAGTAATAGGTAACCAACTTCTCCTGCTCTGGTAATCCAAAGCACCTCTCAAACTTCATAAGACCTTCACGAAACTTCTCGGGATCTTCTTCTTTTGTAAAAGAACCTTTTCCTTCCTCAGCAATCAAACCCTAAAACAAGAGAACAGTTATTTCACATACGTATCCATAAACGTGGATGTCTTATAAAAAACTGCACACATACAAAGGAGTATTCTCCTTATAGGATATTGTATTTTACAACTTGAAGAATAGTCTGAGGATCAAAACACAAGGTTACAGCTCACACGTGCCACTTCAGATTCATACAGCTTTGGCATGACACACATCTTCAGGTTTCCTTATCTGAAAACAATCTATTTTCCTCACTTAATCACATGAACTTCAGGGCTAAATGTTTAATAATTGCAAAATGAACTCTCATATACTTCCTAGGGGTTCTCAAAACTATTGTGAGATAATTTGTTATCAGTTCCAGACCACTATCTAAAGGCACGTGGTGTACCATTTACCAAGACATAATTTGTGTCGAACAACTTTATTTAACTATGTGGCAGATAAACAGTAACAATGGAGCGTATTATTCACTCAGAAGTACACAATATCGTGGTGCTGTCTGCATGGAACATAATATTTGTGTACATTTAGAAGTAAAAATACTCAGCCTTTCTCAATTGTGTCATGTGCCTTCTACTTACTCTTATCTTTCCCTGGACAAAGCTTGTAATATCTTCATTTGAATCAAACACCGATAAAATGTTCATGACATTGTGTTCTAACCAGTCCCAGTGTTCTGTTATCTCTTCTCTGCTGGCTCCTGATGGAAAGTAGAAAGATAGAAGTGACTTTAATTACTTCATTAAAAACATTAATCAAGAGAATATTCAGCAAATTTCAGGTTCACAGAGTAATTTACATCCACAAATCCAAATCACGGTAATGACACTGCTGTGTTTTTATCTTTCAGGCTCTTTACGCAGCTGTATTTCTAGCCGTTACCCTAGAAGCATTCCAGCTTTGTCAAGATTTTGTGGCTCTATGCTGAAGCCAGACTGGGACTGACAGTTCCTCTGGCTCACCAGTATCACCAGCATCACCAACATCACCAGCACACACCCATGTTAGTACGTAGGACGCTTCCCTCGAAGGTGGGAAACACGAGATCACATTCAGAAACTTATCAGAAAATAAACATGAGCTTTTGATACACTCAGCTTTGATCACAAAGCCACAGCAGTTCCCACAGGAGAACTGCCAGCCTCGGATTTGCACTGGTGCACAAACACTCCTCCCAAGGGTAAGGTTGTATCACCGTACGCACCTCTGTGGCCAGGATGGTAGCAAAGATTTTTCTCTCTTTGGATACATAAAACAACCATTTCTGCTGCCTACCACAAACATTTGCTTATGCTCAGTACAAGTCATTGTTTTATCACATTCTCTATCAAGTCACATTTTAATTACATTTCTAATCATACTAAGCACTAATGGTGCTAAGCCAAGCACCATTCAGGAAACAGCTGTCATTCCATCTATATAGTAAAGTTCTGCTTACATTCTAATTCCAAACAATGCAATGTTTTCCTGCAGTTAGAGGGTTCTAAAAGAGGACAGAAGCAGAGCTGTGCCCTAGATGGAAAGCCATATACCCCAGACCTCCTGCGCCAGGACAAAAGGCTCATTCATACCAGCTGAATGTCCCCTGAAGCAGCATCTGGCACCTCCAGAATTAGTACCATTTTTCTTCTGAACCCTATGGGACTGCAGCGCTAAGGAATTAAGGAATGCCTCCTCCTCTTTCGTTACATACAAGCCAGAGGAGTAACTTAAAAATCTGCCATCACTAGCCATAAGGAACATGCAAAACACAGAGACAAGACAAAATTCAGTGCTCCCAGAATGTAAATATGGCACTTGCAAATAGCTTAGAGAAAAGAAGACCTCATTATGTTACTTTACTCACTTGACAGTGCTTTTTTTCTAGGTTTCAGAAGGCAATCACTTACTTCACTGTGAATGTCACTGTGATTTTACAGCAAAAAAACCCACCAACTATCTCACCTAAACTACTTAGAAACAGATTAGTGGCTTGCTTCAAATAGAAGGGAAAACTCTTACTGCTAGATACAAGCTGTGAAATGGTTATGATAATTCATCTTACTCTTTTCACATACTCGCTTTCCACGCAGGTGGAAACAGGTCATAAAGCAGAGCTTATACTAGTGAACCAACAGAAGAGGCCTAGCAAATTCAACTCCTTAAAGACAGGTGATTCTTTCCACTCCATCAGATGGGGGGATACAGAGAGAAGGAAACGGAGGGGAAGAATTTACATAGGATTCAATAAAAGGATTCTAGAACATACGTGAGTTGGTTGTTATATCCTTCCCAGGAGTGCTCACAACTAAACAGTCTACAATCACATACTGTCACTACCCCCAGGCAACAACACACCATGCACAATTTCTGTTTTTTCAATTTACTTTGTAAAGACTAAATGAACAACTTTCAGTGGACTCCACAGAATTAAGGCTGCCTTAAGGGAATAAATAGAAATCGATCTAAATACTGTTAGTTAGGCTGTGCTACACATGCTGGATTTGCAATGACACTTGAAAAATGACAGAGTAATTAACAAAGCAATGAAATCAAAACGAATTCTCCCTCTTCGACTACACATTCAGAGCAATTATTTGAGTCACTCTAAGAAGCAAAGGCACAGATGTGGCACAATGAAGATGAAACTATTTCTAAACATTTAAACAATTCAGCAGTACTGTTTCAGACCCTCACTGTGTGGAAGCAGGAAAGAAAGCAATCTCCTCCTCCATTTATTCACTTCACAGAAGGAACAATATGTTTCATAACACGAAGTATATTTACACCGTGAAGCCTTTTGTTCTAAAGTGTACTTAAGTAGTACAGAACTGGCAAAAATTCAGTCCTAGGGTGAAGATTACCTTTCATGTTTTCTCAGGAGCTTACCTGATGCCATTAGAATCCCCCAGAGTGCACTTCCAACTCATTTATCAAAGCACCTTTCTTAACAGCCTGACACCATTTGTTCTGACCTCTCCAGAAGAAGTCTCCAAATTTTATTTACAGCCAATGCACGAACCATTCAAATTTTATTTCATTTAGAATGTTGCCCTTTTGAAGTGAGACATTATGAATTACATTAAGTCATTTAATAATTCTCTTGCTGACTACTGCTCCTCAGATGAGCCCTTGAAGAACACGAGTACGAGCCGATCAGCACTGCAGCATGAAATGCAGAAACAATCGAGCCAAACATTGAAAAGGAAACATCAGAATTTATGCAGTGGCTAATTTAATTTTAACAAACAGGAAAAGGCACAATTGCTTATTTAAGGTGAATAATGAAGGTTTATAAAGAAAACAGTACAATTTAATGCAACAAGAGCACTGCATTTACTGGTAGAATTATTCAGGCTGAGGGAGCTGGGCTTCTTCAGGCTGGAGAAGAGGAAGCTCTGGAGAGATCTCACCATAGCTTACCAGTACTTCAAAGGAGCTTATAGACAGGAGGGAGACTGACTTTTTATGCAGTCCGATGGTGACAGGACAAGGGGGAGTAGTTTTAATCTAAGAGAGGGGAGACTTAAGTTAGATGACTGGGGAAAATTATCACTCAGAGGCTGGTGAGGCAGTGGAAGACGTTGCCCAGAGAATGTGTGGATTCCCCACTCCTGAAGACATGGAAGGTCAGGTTGGATGGGGCCCTGGGCCCTAATTTGATGCCTGATTTAGTGGTTGTGAATCCTGCCCACAGCAAGGCATTGGGACTAGATGATCTTTATGGCCCCTTCCAACCCAAGTCATTCCATCACTTTATGATTCTTTCTATCACATAAACGTTTGCAGAGTGGCACCTCTAATTTTCCTTCAAAACTCATCTTTTACCACAGGTCTGGATGCCTGTGAGACCAGAGAAGTCTAGATAGAGACTTGGGTTTTTCACTTCTGTACAGAACACAACTAACTAAAAAAACTTAAAGCATGGAAAAAATGAACTAAAATGTGGGTTCTTTTAAGTGTAATTATAGACTTTTTCACAGTCTTTAATAAGCCTAAGAAATGGATTAATCCTACAACAGTTACATTTGTCATCTGACCACGTGACTATCTTAGTTTCAATATAAAGGCAAGATCATGCTGAAGAAGAAGAAACAGTGATGCATGCAAAGAACTGAGTTCTCTCAACTTTTGAAATGGAGGTCTCTCTGAATACTTGGTATTTCAGCAGTCTATTTAAGGGAATTTACACTTATTTCTCAGGGGAAGCTGCAGAATTTAAAAACAAATAATAACAACAACAACAAAATCAACCTAGTAATAACGATGCTTTAGGAAAAGCCACGTACTCCACTTTCAAGGTCAATTTTCTTTTCCATTTGCTACTGACTAATAACATAACACACAAACGAGAAAGAACCTCTTACACCCTAAGACCAACAGATATGAGGAAGAATTCAGCTGCCATCATGACAGGAAGGCTGGCTCATTCTTAACAAAGATAAAGTAGAAAAATAAAAATCAGATAAGCAATTCCTGCTACTTATACCTATAGCTTTTATACTTAATCCCCTCAAGGGTCAACTTTTCCACATCATCCTGAACTATGCCAAATTACAGACCTCCTTTGCAGCTTAGAAAATAAAAGATTGTGCCCCTGCAATTCTGAGAGAGCATCAAGGCAGTTCCTTAGTACTATACAGACTGCTGCAAAAAAACAGGCAAGCTGACCTTATCACATGAAGGGTCCATAGGTATATTCTGAAAAACTAGAACCATAAACCACTGTCAATCTCAGGACTGAAATATCCTGAGCATCACCATATATGGGGCCCTGGGCAGCCTGGGCTGATATGAAATGTGGAGGATGGTGGCCCTGCATGTGGCAGGGGGTTGGAGATTCATGATCCTTGAGGTCCCTTCCAACCCTGGCCATTCTGTGATTCTGTGTGATTACCAAATAATTTTCAACCGTGTGAAGATCACCGGAATGAATGATGTGAGAGGATGAACCCAACCATAAGATTCAGCCCATCCTTTGCATCCCAACTTTTCATTTTATAAACTCACTTAGCTTCTAAAAGAACAGTACATACCACACGCAATGGACCAGTAGACCTGTGAGTCCGGTGTCTGATGCAGGATGCGAAATGGGGCCACTTTTGATGTAGAATCCAATACTGCATCTAGGGTTCCCACGAGAAGACCTGAAGGAAAGCACACGCAGCCTGGTAAAACTAAAGCTGTGAAATGCATACTTACCTCCCAGTTCCTTTCTTACTGAATAGGAATGTTATCCAAGTGAAGATTTATTCTGTAATAAGCTCTGAGAAAAAAAGAAGCACAGATGAACAAAATGAGAAGCCTTCCCAGAGGAAGCTGCTGGGAAGCCGTTACAAACATTATAAACACAGACTGAGGGTGAAAAAGTTTGAGATGATGCCCTTGGAAGCAATAGCCATGCAGTATAGTAAACCAGAAGATAACCTAAGAAGGATCATGGCAGTTCCCAGCCTTCAATAAGCACGAGCAGAGATTGGACTACCTCTTCATTAGTCACTTACTGTTGTTCTGTTTTGCAAAGGAAACAGTTCTAGGGAAAGTGTACAAACATGATGTCTGATTTATGAAAATCTCATGCACTCCCTTCACATGAGAACTCCATGTCACACTCCTTATACAGACAGAAGTTTTCCTGTTCATTCAATTCTCCAGGCATTGGGCTACAAAATGCCTTTCTTTATCAAGTCTATCAGAAGACTCCATTATAAACCATGGAACATGAGGATTTCATCCTGCCATCATGTGTGATGATGCATTACTTCATTACAGATTACTGGTACCAGATACAATGACCATGTTACCTCCTTGCCCCTAAATATTGAATTAGTTCCACTTAAACACAGCTTACATCAAAATACTAACAAAACACACTTCATCTCTACCAAAAAAAAAAAAAAAAGACACTCTCTCTCCTCTCTCGATATATTTCCTGACAAAATGAGTATGCATTTTATCTTGACAAGCAAAATCATTGTCACTAAGAGTAACACAGATGTTACACAGCTCAGAGATCTTAAAAGCTGTATTTAAAGCTAAGAATCAAGAAATTCTAAAAGAAGAAGAAAAATCTACACAGAAAAAAATACAAACTTCTGGATTCTGATGTTCAAGTAAATCCTGTTACAACAGCAATGAAAATACAAGCAATGCTGTCACTCTACTTTCCTTCCATTAATCCCTCCTCAACTTAGGAAAGCACCAGTTGTGAGTACTCAGCGAATCAAATCAAGACCTCTCAATTTTATCCAGGCATTTATCCTCTGAACACGATTTCCCTTGTAGCACAGACCTCGTGTGACCTATCGATGTGGCTATTCAAGTTTCAGAATGATTTTCCTTGTCTTAACAAAATGGAAGCAAATAAAAACCACAAAGGGAACCCAAGGACCAGTAAATCTCATCAATCAAAACTATTACCTTGCATTGCCTGCAACTCATAGACTGTACCTGTTGAAAAGTAGCATTTTTTGGACATTCAAACTACAGTCAGTCATTGAACAGATAACATTCATAACTGCTTTAAGAGCTGTGGCTTACTGAGTCATAACACTGAGCTCATCGTCACAAAGCTGGCTCTGCTTCAGCAGATACTTTATTATCTTCTACAATTCTCCTCATCATATTTTTGTTACGATATGGTACCACGACATTAGTCACTGTTGCTAAGGTTGATGCAACAGCTCAGCTTGTGTGAATGAGTGTGACAGCACACTAGGGAGCAGCATTCCTGAGTGCTGTAAGAGCCACCATCAGTTTGGAAGACCATCAGATTTTATAGATCATATCACAGATCATCATATCACAGAATTTTAGGCACAAACTGCACCAGTATTTCTCATTTCAGTAGTTCCACCAGTCAGCAGTGCTGTCTACAACACAACTGCAGGTTAGTGCTTCAGCCATTAAATATTCAAGAGGTGATGAGCTCATTTCACAGCTGCAGTTACTGGCATCACTGCAAGGACCTGGCAGTCACACCTGCTTTTCCTGGGCCTGAATATGCTCCGACTACAAGATGGGAATGTTCACTTCCAAGGCTGCAGACAAGGAAAGGTTTAAAGGTCATTAGTCCAAGGATATTAATTGTAAAATAAAGGAGTAGAGAGCAGAAGAATCAGCAACTGCTCAACCCAAATAGTGGCATTACCTCCATAGGGGATGCAAGAGGAAAAAGCAAATCAGACCCTATTTGCCAATCCCTTGCCAACGATATGCAGCATACTGTTCTCAAACACCAGTTCTAGGGACAACCTTCAGAAGGTCACCTACTAGAGTTAGGGTAGTATGGTTAAGTTGCAGCTGGACTTAATGATCTCTAAGGTCTTTTCCTATCTGAGCAATTCTATGATTCCACTCTCACCTCTGCTCTCAGACCCACAGTTTCTGGCACTGATTTCAGCCAAGTCGTTCTCCAGCCTCACACAGGGAATGATTTCAGCTTTCGACAACTTCAGTGATGCACACTCACAAGGAGAAAGGTTCTGTTTTTAGAAAACACTCTCAATTTCATGGTTATTTAAGTAAAACCATTGAGAAGCACCATGGATACTGAAGTGAATAGAGAAAAACACCCTAGAAAATAAAGGGGCCAGGAAACCTGAATAGCTTTGGAATAAGGTGATCTTTGCAAAACTTTATGTAGCCTTGGGCCAACAGAATACAAACATTAGCTGACATTATATCAGGAACAAATTGCCTCAGTGACACCAAACCTTCAGAGCTGAGTGTGGATGACTCAATGGTAACTGGAAGCACTGTGCCTTGCATAGTATCCTTGGTACTTTGCTGCAGAGACATCCACCAGAACATGTTCACCATGAATTCTGCTCTCACTTGTACCAACTTATGGCAATAATGCCTATCTGCTACATGAAAATAACTGCCCAGCACTTTGTCTTTTGGGAGCGACACTGCTGTGTTCTTCTATCTCACCAGGCTCATCCAGAGAGTACTGCTGAGTGCTTTCCCTAAAGAACTGCTGTTGCTCTGAAGCAGAGTTGGCACAAGCCTGTTTGCTCCTCTGCTGCCTAACAGTACCTTTGAGATCAATAATTGATGAAATTAAAACCAGATCACTCTCCTGATTTACTACATTAGAAGTGTTACTGGACATCAAATATTGATGAGAGTTAGAGCTCCTTACAGACAGAGATGCTTCATCAGCACAGTGCTGGCCAGCCCCGCGTCCCCAGGGTCTCTCAAAGCAGACACACCCAGGTACAACTGAGGCTTCACTCCACCTTTGTTTACACTGATGTAAAAAGGCACAGTGTGAAAGTAATGTAAGAGCTGCATCTGAGTGACAGCAAATGCAGAAAGTGGAGCTCTGCAGGAAGAGTTTGGTTTGGCATTAATTGCTCCTTTCTGCAACCTGAGGCTTAGAGCAATCTGAACCTTAAAGCAAGTCCAAAGGGGAAACACACTAGGCTTGTGTCAGAAAATAAATATCACTCATTTCAATCAGATATTTGTTATAGTTCAAGAGCAACACCTGTTCATAGTATGGAACAGAATGGGCGGAATCCCACTGAGGACACCTCCCAGCAGGGACGCATGCAACAGCCTCAGCACCTTCCAAAACCAGCATCTCTATGTTCAGAAGAAACATAAACATGAAGAATGTAAAGCAATGGCTTTTACATGAACTGTTCAGTTGTTTTTGTATTGTAAAGTCAATAATAAATGAAGTCAATAATAAATTGTGCATTAAAGAAGGAAATCAACCCTGGAGGCAATGCAATGCAAGAGACCCAAACCACAAATCCTCACCACCATAAATATATGTTTACAAAAGCAAGATAAAGCCTCATCCCAGAATGTTAAATACATTTACACTGCATTTTGGTTCACTTAAAATTAAAAAAAAAAGTTTATCTAGTGACAACTGGCCATTTACAAGTGCTATACTTAGCCAAAAAAACCTCTCTGTCTCAGCGTGCTTTATTTAAAATGAGAGAATGTCAACTTTTGAATAAGACTCCCTGTCCCATTTCTTCAAATTAAGCACAGAACTCCTTTCTTTTTTGTTTTGTTTTGTTTAATTGTATTTCCAAATCAGCTTGGTCTCATGACTAAGGAACCTCAGCTTACGGCACTACAGAGCATGGACTGAGATGCAAAAGTTCTTTAGTAATTGAGATGTAAAACTGGTTCATCTAAGTCTCCTGTGAGTAGGATTTCATCTCTATTTACAATGTACATTCTGGCCAGTGCTTATGACTCAGGTGAGACAATGGCAGCTTATTAAACAAAGGTGTGTATTCAGGGCCATATGTAAAAGTACTTGTGGCAATAAAGATATCCTCGAAAACTGGGAAATTAGAAACTTTCTGTAAAAAAGACAAACACTGGTCTCCTTGGTAGGTCCAGTGGCAAGTCTGACATACATCAGCTCCTCCTCTTCTTCGCTTCTGCACAGCTAAAGGCTACAGAACATGAATAGATGTCAGTTCAATACACAATCAGAGCTAAATAGAGAGGTGAGTAAAACTCCTGAGCATCTAAGCAGTGCAGCACCTTCTGCGGAGACCAAGCAAGGTGACCTTCAGTGCCAACCCTTCTGTCCCCAAGGCAGCAACACAGCCACACCGCCGCGCTGCCTGCTCCTCCCAGTGCCAGCAGAGCTGCCATACTTGCTCTTCACCAGACAGTGGGACTACACTACTACAGACCTCTGTGGCAACTTGAAAACTGCCTGAAGCGCAAGCTGCACCTCTCCAGCCTCACACCCAACTCCACAGCACAGACCTTGAAGTTCCAAAAAACAAACATCGCCTCTATCACATACTGAGCCTACTTACAGTGCAAAGCTTCCCAAGCTTCCTCTCCTGCGCTGCTATTCCTATTAAAACGAATTCCTATAAGATCACCAAGTACCATTTTTAATTGACCCAATGGGAAGTTCTGTGTGAGGCAAGGTCCCTGCTGCTTATACTCACCATGCTAAAGTGTTCTTTAACATAATGCCCTTTGACAGATAAAGTCAATTTCCTCATAGAGCATATACAAGCCTAGCTCTGTCTCCAGCCTCCTCTGCTAGCACGCTAGCTAGCAGTGACACAGACAACAGGCTGCATTCTACAAGCAGGAATAGCATCAAGAACCTTCTGCAGATTCAGGATAGCAGTAATTGCTGCCGGAAATCTAGGACTCAAAGAGTCAGGATTTTTCCCAACATTTGAAATCTCCCTTTTTTCAAGCACAGCACATTCAGTGAGCAGGGAAGATTATTCCCAACCATGTGCTTTACCAGTAAGTGTCTCTCCTCTCACAGCTGTGCTGTACACTGGAGCAGAAAGGAAAAAGCTAAAGCATGTCACTGAAAGACTGGTATTTTGTAACATCATATATAATTACTCCAGAATACCTGCCTTCTAGCTAAGGTCCTATAACCAAACAATATATATAACTGAAACAAGGTCTTCATGACCAACCTACTCGATCTCACTAGATCTTGTGTACAGCATGTGCATTCACAGCAGCAGTTTCCTGTCACTGTAACTGCGCTTTGTCACACACACCATTTTGTTTAACTGTATCCTTACAAATAAACCCTAGAAGAACTAAGCAGACCTCCTGTAGTGGCTCTGCAGAAACAGAAGGACTGGAGGACATGGCCACACAGCTGCACTGCAGGCAGAAGATTCTGTGACAGCACAGTGAACGTGAAATATCAGGAAGTAGAAGCAGTCAAACAGGTTACAGTATCCGCACCCTTAGGTGAGGTCTAAGGAGGAAAAGAGAATGAAATGTAAAACTAAGCAGGTGTATAAGAGCAGAGAGGACCAAGGCTAAGCGAAACCAGCACAAAGTATCCATCTCTATCCACACTAACCAACTAGTAAACTACACTGGGCGTGGACACAAACCACAGGAGCTAGCCATCACCAAAAGATGACAAACTGACCCTGTTGTACCAGTCCAAAGGGATGCACAAACAAATCTAAGCGTGGATTTCTTTATAAGCCCATGCTAATACATCAAACCCTGCCTTCCTCTTTTACTCGGTCTGCACCTTCTGCTTCTGGTTGTGCCCTCAATACTCACTTGCTCCCTCCTCAAAGTCTTCCTTACTGAGCATATTCTTGTATCACTGGAAATCCATTGCAGCCATCCCTCAGCCAGCACATCAGTGCAGTCCCAGCCATGCAGCACTCTGCACTCTCCTCCCCATGCTATGTTGAGGCACTGTCCCTCTCCTCCTACAGGGCTCCATTTCCCAGTCCCTTTCATCCTGTGTCGCATCAGCTGGAAAACACTGCTTACAAGAAAAGCAAAAGGCTCTCGCTGGCACTCTCCTAGGTGATGGCATAACATAATAGCTGTTCATTGCTTTTTTTCTGAAGTAAGCACTAATTATCTGAGTCACACACAGTACTAAGAAATTAAAATCAGGCACAGCAATTTATGCTAGTTTATACCTAGGAGGTTTGAATATTTTCATACCTGCAAACACAAATCTAACTCTGTTATTTTCCAATTCTTCTGCTAACCCTTGTTATTTACCAATTTAATTCAAGAACATCTTACTTTTGCTTCTGTTCACTAAAAAGTAACCTGTGCAAATAAAAGCTGTATGAGCCTCATATAAATAGAAAAGCTATAGAAACAAAACATGCAACACCATCCTGGAAGGCATACCAAAGGAACTATCCCACTTGGGCGTTCTTCCCATGCCGCTATACGCTTGCAAGGTCAGGAGAACAGTGACAGACATCTCATTCTTTCTTTTTGTCGCAGTTCTTGGGTGAATCTTACCACACTGCCTGACAACCTTTGTATCGCTTCAGCTTGCTTTGGTTTCCAAAGACACAGGACAGAGAACAGCCAACCCAGATTGGTGACCAGAGTTGAAAGACATCATCCTTTGTTGTAAGCCGAAGCCTGACTTTATCTACTATAACATTACGATATTCCTAGCATGGAATCTGGGATCATGCAGTTATTTCTTTTTACATGTTCCTTGCCCCCTATAAGTGGTTCACATGCCAGTGAAATTCCTCTGGTGGGAAGGGCTATTTCTACCTGTGGAATTTGTCAGTCAGACGATTAGATGTTATTACATTGTTGGGAAGAATTAATAAATGCTTCAATAAGACAATAATGCATCACGTTCAGTACAGCTTACATTATGACGATGCAATTAGAGAGAATGTGAAGATACAACTCATACGAACCCAGAGACACAACCCATTCGTAACACTTTAAAACCACGCTGGCCACGAGCCAGCAGTGCACCCTTGTGGCCATACGGCCAGCGGTACCCCGGGGTGCAATATCTAAAGGACAGGAGTCAAAGGGATGGGGCCAGGTTCTTTTCAGTAGCATGCAGTGACAAGATAACGGGTAATGGGTAAAACCAGATCAGGGGAAGTTGGACTGGGAGATCCCCATAAGTTCTTTCCAACTCCTTAGGTTCTGTGACACCCCAACGTGACTCCACGTCCCTGTGCCATTTCTTCTCCCACCTGGGGTGCCAGAGGACGTTATGCCACGAACAATAACCAAACCTAGACACTCCGGTCTGCACCTCCAGTTCTCATGAAATAAAGCCCGTTACAGCGAGCCTGTCGCGGTGTCAGCGCCGCCTCCCGTTTGGCCGAGCCCAGAGCTTCAGCTCTGCCACCTCACCCCCTTGCTGGGGTGCACGCGAAGAGTAAAGAAAGCAATTTAAAAAAAATTTATATTAAAAAAAAAAAAGGGGGGGGGGGGGGGGGGGAAGAGGGGGATGGGAAGAAGAAAACAACACCCGAGGCACCTCGCCGCGGTGGATCGGCCCACGCTCGGCCACCGCAGCACCGCCCGCCCCGCGCAGTACCTGCCAGCCCGCCACCGCCCTCCTCGCCGTAACCCCGCCGCCTCTGCAGCACGAAGTACTGGTTGGAGCGCTCCAGCACCCATAGCTTGAGGGCATTTTTCAGCAGCACCTCCTCGGGCTTCAGCCACATCTCGGCGGCTTCACCGCCCTCCGCCGCCACCGCCGCCCATACTCGCCACCGCCTCCCGCTCCCACGTACGCGGCCCGGCTGCCAAGCGCCGCCGCCCCGAGGCACGCTGGGAGACGTAGTCCTGGCTGGAGTCCTCCACGCCTCAGGCCTACAGCTCCCGGCGTGCTCTGCGCGGCCGCCGGCCCTGAGGCGAGGCGGGCAACGGCGCTTCGCTTGCCGCCCCTGCGAGGTGCAGCCAGGCATCGGCCTCGGCCGTGAAAATCTCACAAAGGGATTTTTGTTTTGCCCCCTCCCCCCCCCCCTTCGTGGC